TACCATGCTGCCACTCAGACCTTCACACGACAACAGAGGCTCAACAATTGCAGCTGCAGGCACAAGTGCCCCTGGTTTGAAACGTTACAAGACTACCGGTGTTGCAGTTACAACCGCAAGCGACCCTGTTTTGACACGCCGGAACACTATTGGTGCTACAGCAACAGCAGCAAGTGGCCATGTGCTGGGAAGATTTAAGACTCCTGACGGTGCAGCTGCAGCCACAAGCGACCATGTTTTGACTCGTCGGAAAACAAGTGGTGTTTCAGCCGCACGTGACCCTGTTACGGGACGGTTCAAGCCTCTGGGTGCTGCAGCAGCAACCTCAAGCAACCCTGCTTCGAAAGGCCAGAACAGCAACGGGTACGAGATTACCAGCTGTTTTAAGCGGCCGCGGTTGAATGCCGCTGGCGTAGCTGGGCGCAGCAGCATGGCTAGCACGTTCGGCATGATCGGCAGTAGGTTCGGCACGCCCAGTAGGTCCGGTGCGGCCAGCACATCCATGTTCAGCACCAGCACATTCGGTGTGACTGGCACGTCCGGTACAAGCCTGATCTGAAGGATGCAACTGTGCTATGGTTTTGTGTGCTCTCAAATCCCTGAGACAACTCAGCATGCCATATAGGCATGCCCTTTCACGTCATAGGAGTATATGTGTGATGTCCTCGTGCCCTCATATAATAGGGTAGCAGATAACGATGTACTGCATATGTACTTATGATAAAGCCTGCACGGCCTACTATTGTGAAGGGTGTTACATACCAGCACGTGAAGCCACAGCAAAGAAACTGTCTTAAAAACAAAACAAATCAGCCGGCATAAAAGACACCAGAACAATGAAGCCAAACACAACTCTGTCACGCCATTCAGCAGCCAATGTCTGTCTATCCCAGTTAGAGGTGCTTCAAAAGTCTTTTGGGGCGCCTCAAAAGAAGCTAACCCTTACTCTGTCACGCCATCCAGCAGCCAATGTTCTTCCTGGTTGCTACCCCAGTCACTGGGCTCGCCTACTTGGCCTTGCGATACAATAAGCCGATTTCTTTGTCGATGAGAAAGCTTGCCTTTCCACAACCTTAAGGGTCGACTCAAATATTTTTGTTCAGCAGCTGAGAATGTCCTAGGTGTCTTTCCCTTCACTGGGGTCAACCCTTGGGAGGAATTTGATGCGAGCTGATTTGAATTTCAGTCTTCAGAAGTCGAGACTCTCTCTGGTTCCTACCCCAATCACTGGGTCCACCCCCTTGCCCTTGCGACACATTTGAGTCGACTTGAGACTCACTGTTCAGCAGCCGAGGCTCTCCCTGGTCTCTACCCCTGTCACTGGATTCACCCCCTTGGCCTTGCGACACATGAGCCGCCTCTGTGCATTGTCCACTATCGCATCTGTGAAGTCTGCTCCGGTCACATCGGCGCCTGCAGGAGAGTAGCATGCACGCAGAGAGAGGTGGTGGGAGAATAAGGGAAGGGGAGGTGACGCATCAGCCGCCTCTAAAGAAACGGCGAAAGGAAAAAATAGCATGCTGGACAGGAAGACAGACCTGCGTGAATGGCAAAGATCAAGGAAAAGAGAAAGGAAGACACAAAGCGGTAGCTCGCCTTCGAACGGCGATCCAGAGAGAATGGCGATGGTAACACTTTTAGGCGCCTTATAATTAGCCTCACTACAAGCAAAGCGGAAGCTCACCTTCGAACTGCGATCCAGAGAGAATGGCGATGGTAACACTTTTAGGCGCCTTATAATTAGCCTCACTACAAGCAAAGCGGTAGCTCACCTTCGAACTGCGATCCAGAGAGAATGGCGTTGGTGAAGTTTGCTGAAAAAGGGGGTAATGGAAAGACGAAAATGAGAAAGTCTGTTTGGACAAAGAAGCAGCAGTGATGGTGGGTGAAAATCCATGACCACGGCAAGATCGCACGACAAAAGCACAGGGGTGGGGAAGAGAGAGGGGGTGAGGGGGGGGGAGAAGGGATGGTGGGGGCGACTAGGATTTTGAAGCGGCAGAGAACAGAATTTGTTTTGCAGAAAGCAAGAGCAGCCGGAATGCGAGCAAGCAAAGAATAAAAATGTGCAAGAAGGGAGTACCGTTGCGAAGGTTGGCCCCTTTGAAAACAACTCGGTCCGCAAGAGCACGCTCCCTGCCGTGACGGGAGGTGGAGAGGAGAGACGGGGAGGGGAGGTTGGGAGGGAAGATGGGGAGGGGAGATGGGGCAGGAAGGTGGGAAGGGGAGGTGGGGAGAAGTGAGCCATAGGGAAAGGGAAGGGTTCAGAAAGCGCGCAGCAGCTGTTTCTGAAAGAAAGACCTCTCAGGCACTTGCTCACCGGTTGGTGTTCTCTAGGTTCGCGAGCTCAAAGCCTGCGAAGCTGTCGGTGCTTTTGAGGCGCCTCGCAAGTCACCTAGTTAGCTCAATCAAGCACGCAGCAAGCATGCAGAAATAGCAAACACCCTCCTCGGCTCAGCTCACCAGTTTGTGTTCTCGAGGTTGGCGAGCTCAAAGCCGGCAAATGTGTCGGTGCTGCCAGCAAGGTTCGACCCACTCAGGTTGATCAGCCTGCAGTCGCACGCTGGGTTGGAGGAATGGGAAGAATGGAGCAATGGGGAAATTACTTTTGAGGCGCCTCAAAAGTCAATGGGGAAATGGGGCAGTGGGGAGATGAGATGAGGTAATGGGGGATTGAGAGAATGGGAGGATTGGGGAATGAGGGACTGAGGGAATGGGAACTTGACGACTGGGGGGAATGGGGGCGGTGAAAGAGTGGGGAATGGGGGAACGGGGGAATGGGGGGTGTGCAGGTTCAGAAACGAGCTGGGAAACATCAGAGTCCCCCCACCTTGTATACCTGCAGGGTATTTTTGAGAATTTTCAGCCCATCCGTTTTCAGCTGGGAACATCAGAGTCCCCCCATTTTGTATACCTGTTTCTTCCCTCCCATCCTCCTTCCTTTTCCCCTAGCTGTCACATCTCACCCCTCTCTCTCGCCCCTACTCCCCTAGCCCACTTCTTCCCCCCACTTCCATTCCCGCTGCCCCTCTCGTTCCTGTCACCCTTTTCTCCCCTCACCAGCAAATATGGAGCGGTAAAGGTCCTGATTGGACATGTTTATCAGCCTCCCCCTCTTCCCTTCCCCCTCCCCTCCTCCTTCCTTATCCCCATTCTCCCCTCACCAGCAACTATGGATCGGTAAAGGTCCTGATTGGACATGTCCGTCAGCCTCCCCCTCTTCCCTTCCCCCTCCCCTCCTCCCTCCCTTATCCCCATTCTCCCCTCACCAGCAAATATGGATCGGTAAAGGTCCTGATTGGACATGTCCGCGCCGCGTAGGTAAGCGTGGTTGTATGTCTGGGGGAAAGGGGGAAGGGAGGAAGTACGGGGAAGGGAGAGGGAAAGGGAGGAGGAGGACGAGGGGTGGAGGGAGGTGGGTTGCGAAGGGAAAGGGAGGGGGAATTGTTGGGGGGAGGGAGCACGCAGGAGCACATAATGCAGGAAAAATCAGGGACTGAAAGGGGTCATGGGAACGTCATTGCATGGGTTACGATGGAGAGAGGGAGTACGCATTTCATCAGAGAAATGAAAGGGACTGAGCTGCGTTACATTGGGCTGCAGCTCGCACGTTGAAGTCGGCGAGAGCGACTTTGAGTCGACCAAAAAGTCACTTGTTACGATAAAGGAAGGGAGTAAGCATTGAAGATAGAGAACAGAAAGGGACTGAGCTGTGTTACATTGGGCTGCATCTCGCACCTTGAAGTCGGCGAGAGCGCAAGGCGCGACCGCAAAAGGCGCCGCAACAACCGCCGCCGCCGCCGCAGCTGCAGTCAGCCACAATCCCGCACGCTGCGCGTTGGACGGCGCGTCGGCACGATGCGCGTGAGTGTCGCCAGCGCCGCCACTCGCGTCGCTTCGCTCCGCGCCACCCGAGCTGGACGCGCGAGGAGGAGCTACAGCACGTTGACGCCTCGATACTGTCGTGGTCATTGGGAATGTCGCGCGTCGGTGACCGCCGTGCGATGGCAATCCGAAGGAGGCCAAGTTGGTCTGAAAGGCTTGAACGGACGGAGACGAGACGACGGTGGTACTAGTGCTAGCAACGGGAATTATGCTCGCGAATGCCATAGAAGCAGATAGCACGCGACCGAATGTTTCGCACGCACGACTACCAATCGACGCGTGGTCGTTAACGGGAGTTTCAGCTCCACTCAGGCAGGATGTATTAGCTAAGGCTCGGGAAGCGACGACCCGCAGCGCTCTCAGGATAAATAAGCCACTAGCGCCAGAAGCCCTTACACGTTCCCAGCCGCACTACGCACCACCACAGCGCGACGTGCTTACACTTCGGTCGGAGAGGGAGTGCTGGTGACTGATGACCCTCCAAAGCTAAATGATTGATAGAAATGCAAGCATGCATGCTGACAGACAGGGAGTCTGACAGTCCCAGTCATAGTGCGCGTGAGGGAAGTGGTATGGACGCAAACAGCAGGCTGGATTCATGGAGGGACCGCGACACTCCCAAGGTGAGGTGAGTGCGAGGGGATGAAATACCACGTCACTCAGAGGCCCGTCCAGCCTGGCGAAGGAGTCTCGAGTCGACGGATTGGTCAGACTACCTTTTGCCAAATCTGCTGAAGACCCTTGATTGGCTGCTGCTCGAACTGCAGTGTGCTACATCCAGATTCCTCAGTATTATTTGTAACTAAAGATGGATCATTTATAAGTGTCATTGATCAGTCAAAATTGGATACTTTGTTCAGTCTAGAAACTCTCATGAGCACTTCAAACCTCCTAAAAGTCAAACCTATACTTATTCCTAAGGACTCCGCTTGATGGGCTATCTATGCTGCACTGCTGTATGCTTTGCACGCCTCCTTTCCTCACCCCACCCACCCACCCGCCCCCATCCATCACCAATCACCCACGTCCACATGCTGATAAAGATCGCAACACATGGGACGGGATGGGATGCACGCTGATGACATTCCACATGCTGCATGTATGTTGAATGACATCTAATCCTCCACATGCTGAATCTCACCCATGAGGATGCGGTTACTGGTAACACTGAACCCCAGCAGAGACGGATCCACCACCTTCTTTCCCTTCTTCCCCTTCTTCTTCCCTCCCGCCCCATCCCCCCCTCCCTCACCGCCCCCAGAAGCAGCACCACCAGCACCAGCAGCAGCAGCAGCACCACTACCCCCACCGCTCCCAGCCTTCCCAGACCCCGATCCACTTGCAGTCACCTTCCGAGCCTCCTCCTGAGCCGAGGCAGCAGGACGTGAGGATGCCGAGCCTTGCCCTGCCACACCCTTTTTCCCACCACCACCACCAGCACCACTGCCACCACTACTACCGCTGAGAAGAGACGAGTCATCCTGAATAACCGCCTCACTCACAGGGAAGGCCACACGCACAGCAGCAGGGGAGAGCGCGGATCGGCGCGAGAGGAAGGAGGAGGTGAAGGCGGAGGCAGGGGGGGCAGCGCCGAGGTACTGGAAGAGGTACTGCCGCACCTGGTCGTCTGCTGCCTTGGGGAGTGACATGCAGAAGTCTATCAGTGTGAGATCTGTGAGGGGTGGCAGGGAAGGGAGGGGGGAACGCGCGAAGGGAGGAGGGAGAGAGGAGGGGGGGAGGAGCAGACGTGGGACTGAGACGAGGTACTGGAAGAGGTACTGGCGCACCTGGTCGTCTGCTGCCTTGGGCAGCGACATGCAGAAGTCAATCAGTGTGAGGTCTGTGAGGGGGGCCGGGGGAGGGGGGGAGAGGGTGCAACGAGAACAGATATAATATTGCGAGCATAGTTCCGAGATAGCCTGACATTTATTGACACCTGAAACTGTCGGAACTTTCTGTGAGATCATAAATGCTAAGCTTTGAAACGCCTCCAGTCTCAAAACCTTACCAGGGCTGCCCGTGAGCTTGAGGATGTTGGATTCACACCACTGCCGAAATTCCTGAGCTGCCCGGAGCTCTGCTGGGGGCACATGAGCCGACGCTGCTGCTGCTGCTGCTGCCGCCGCAGGGGAAAAAGGAAAGGAGAAGGGAGAAAAGGGTAAGCCGGGCATGGAAACAGGGCATGTGAAACACAGAGCAGATACGAGACATGACAGAGCAGCACAGAGAGTATATTATCTCAAAGAAAGGTACTCGTTGATCCCAAGGCACGGCACAGTGCAGCACAACACGGCACCGCACAGCACCCATCAAGGCTGACCTGACTGGGTTGACTTTGCACCCTTCTTCTTGGACCCCTTGGACTTGGTCTCCACAGCTGCTGGTGCTGCTGGAACCTCCTTACTGCAGCCCACAGCAAACAAGCAACACCCAAGTGAGGGTAAACAAGTTGGCAAAAAGAAAAGAAAAAAAACAAACAAAAACAGAGGAGGCTGCTGTTCCAGGCATGTGTGTGTGCAATGGGGTGCACACGAGGGTGACAAGCACATCTGAAACCAGATGCATGATGACGGTGGCACATGCATTAAGCGCGTGTGATGAGTCGATTTTTTAGTCGAGACATCACAAGCACATCTGAAACACGATGCATGATGACGGTGGCACATGCATAAACAAGCCGCATGTAGTTAACCAATCACAGCACGAACCTGGTGTTAGACTGGTACGAGTAGTCCCAGAACATATCCTCATCCTCCTCCACCACCAAGTGACTTTTGAGTTGACTCAGAAGTCACCTTGCTAAACCGAACCTGTTAAACGAACCTGGTGTTAGACTGGTACGAGTAGTCCCAGAACATGTCCTCATCCTCCTCCACCACCACCGTGGCCTCCTTCCTCTCCTGCTGCTGCTTCTTCCCTCCTCCTTTCCCACTCCCACTCCCCACCGAACCTCCCTTCACCTTCCCTCCCAAACCTCCTGCCCCGCCCACTCCTCCCATCCCAACAGCCGCAGCCGCAGCAGACGGCACAGCAGCAGACGCACCAGGCCCCACCCGCTCCTGCAGAACCCTAATCTGCGCCTGCCTCACTCTCTCCTCTTCCCTCGCCCGCTCCTCCTGCCTCTGCCTCTCCTCTGCCTTCGCCCTCTCCTCTGCAGCCTGAATCTCTGCCAGAGACAGAACCGCCCCCCTGCCCCCTCTCCCTCCTCCCGATCCTCCCGCTGCTACTGCTGAACGTCCCGCCGAACCTGACGACCAGGCTGGGGCCGGGGCAGGAGCGGGGGCAGCCGAGGGGCTAACTCCGGGAATCAGCCCCGGAACCATAAGGAAATCAGCCAAGGAAGGAGCGGGTGGAGCAGGAATCTCATCTGCTGCTTTCGCCGCAGCTGCCGCTGCTGCTGCGGAAAGGGAAGCTGAGGCACCAGCAGAGGCAGACCTGGTAGTGGCGACAGGGAGAGAAGCAGCAGGGAGGGCAGCAGCAGCAGCTGCAGCAGCTTCAGTGGCAGCAGCAGAGGCAGCAGAGGAGGACGAGGGCGGCGATTTGCCGCCCTTCCCTTTGGCACCCTTCTTCTTGCTCTTCCTCAATTCCTTCGGCTCCACAAATTCTGAATCATCCACCTCGGCAGCAGCCGCCGCAGCCGCTGCAGCAGCAGCAGCAGACGAGCCGGACTCGCTCTTGGTCAGCTCTACCCTTGCATCATCCAGCATAGAGGAAGCGGATCCAAGAATCTCCTCTGCCAGAGGATCCCTGAAACCACCTGACAAAACACCTGAAACACCTGAGCCTGCACCCGCTCCTCCTCCCAACCGCCCTGAACCGCTCCCAACCCCGCCTGCAGCCACCCCTGCTCCAGCCGGACTGGAATACCCCCTGCCGCTAAGGGGATCAAACAAACTCGCCCCAGTTCTAGGCTCCAGAGAAGGCGGCTGGGGGAAAAGCACCGCACTGGCAGTAACCGCACTTCTAGCCGCTGCAGTATCTGCAGCCGCTGCCGCTGCCGCTGCCGCTGCCGCAGCAGCCTCCTCTTCCAGAATCTCCTTAAGGGATTTTTTCCGAGACATAACAGAAGGAGACCCAGCGTTGCCCCAGACAGTGGCTCCTCCTCCTCCTCCTCCTAACCCCCCGCTGCCGCTGCCAAACCCACCAGGCCCCCCAATCACCTCGCCTGCTGCAATGGCTGCCTGGATTCGCCGCTCTTGCTCCTCCCTCTGCCTCTCTGCTTCCGCTGCCTCTTCCTCTAGGATCTGTGCAAGGGACTTGGCGGGGACAGTAGGGGCTTTCCAGGCGGGGACAGGTGGGGTGGATGGCTTGGGAAGGGCATCTGTGGAGGTAGCAGAGGGGGAAGCAGCGGGTGCTGGGGATGCAGCAGCTGTTGCTGATGCTGCTTCTCCTCCTCCTGCTGCTGCCTTTTCGCTGTAAGAGAGTGGCTTAGTGCTTGGCTCATTGGTGGAAACCTGCTGCTGCTGCTGCTTCTGCTTCTGCTGCTGCTTCTTCTCTTTCTCCTTCTCCTTCTTCTCCTTCTCCCTCTCCTTCTCCTTCTCCTTCTCCCTCTCCTTTTCCTTCTCCTTCTCCTTCCGTTCCTGCAGCAGCTGCAACTGCTCCTCCTTCTGCTTCTTCTTTTTCAGCTTCTTAAGCTCCTTCTTTGAAAGCGTTTGAGAACCCTCATCCGTATCATCCGCACCTGTCTTATCCTCGTTAACAACCTCCTCCTTCTTCCCTTTACCACCAACGCTCATAGCCTCTCCCTGCCCTTCCTCCGCCTCTGCATCCCCAGCAGCCGCCACCTCATCTCCCTTCCCTGCCCCATCGCCCTGATCTGCAAAGCCCTTCAACGCCTCACCCTCCCCTTCCCCTCCCTCTTTCTGCTGCTGCTGCTGCTGGTGTCCAGCCGTGTCCTCTGCCTTACCCTGTTGCTCTGCCCCGACCGACCCTTCCACCACCTGAGCTACAGCCTGAGGGGGGGTCTGGGTGGACTGCACAGCAGCATAGGCACCGCCCTCTGCCTGATTGTCCTGCCGCAGCAGCTGGGAGTATGACAGCCGCTGTGGCTCTGCTGCCGGCTGCCCCTGCTGTTGCTGCCCCTGCTGCTGCTGCCCCTGCGGCTGCTGCCCCTGCGGCTGCTCCTGCTGGGGTTGCTGCTGCCCCATCCCCTGCTGCTGTAGCAGCAGCTGCTGCTGCATCTGCAGCACGTCAGCTCGGGCCGAGGCCTGACCATCTCCCTGCGTCTGCCCTCCTTGCAACTGCAACATCTGCTGCTGCATCAGCTGCTGCTGAAGCTGCTCCTGAGCTAGCAGCGGAAGAGGGTGAGGGTAGTGACCGGGCAGCATACCAAGGGGAATTTGTGGCACCTGCTGCTGCAAAGGCTGCTGCTGTCCCTGCCCCTGCTGCCCCTGCTGCTGCTGCGGCTGCTCCTGCTGCTGCCCCTGCTGCTGTCCCTGCTGCTGGGGAGGAATCGGGGCGCCTGGGAACGGCGGCAAGAGCGGTTGGCCAAAAGGGGGGGGCGGCAGCGAAGGGTGCTGCTGCAACCACGGGGGAGGGACTGACCCGGGGATTGGCCCTTGCAAGAATCGCGCCTGCTGCAACTGCTGCTGAATCTGCTGCGTTCCCTGGGCATCAACCGGCCTGCCTGACATAAGCAGCGACGACAGGTGCATCTGTAACGCCATTTCCTCCGTTACAACCTCTGGTAACCCGCCCTCTTTCGCCAACACGTGTGGCAAGCCAGCCGCACCTGCCACTCCCACCCCCCCAGGCAAACCTCCCCCGGAAGCACCTGTATCCAGAGCCAGAGACTGCTGCAGCCGCATCTGAACCTCCCTCAGTTGCACCTCCCTCAACTGCGCCTCTCGCATCTGCGCCTCCCTCAGTTGCACCTCCCTCAGCTGCGCCTCCCGCTGCTCCCTCTGCTGCACCACCTCCTGCTGTACGCGCATAAGCAGATCCGTTATAGGCGGGTGCTGCAGCAGCTGCTCTAACGGAGCATCCTTGGGAATACCGGCATGTACCAGCGCCTCTACCATTCGTAGACTTAACTCATCCTGCCCTATAATCGGACCCCCGGCTCCAGGGTAGAGCGTGGCTGGGCCTAGCCCAGTAGCGGCGGCAGCAGGGTGCAGGAGCGGGTGCAGGGGGTGATGGAGGTGCGCTAGAGTAATTCGCGGGGGTGGGAGGGTTGGCAAGAGGGCGGATGGCAGCTGCTGTGGCGCCTGCTGCGGCGGCTGCTGTGCCAGTGGCAACTGCTGCTGTGGCGGTTGCTGCTGCTGCTGTTGAAGCTGCTGGAGCTGGGGTTGCTGCGGATGGGAGAGGAGGTGGGAGAGGAGGGAGGGTAGCGGCTCGTGGGTGAGTGGCAGGTGCGCCGGCTGCTGTTGCTGCTGCTGCTGTTGCTGCTGCTGGTGCTGCTGCTGCTGCTGCTGCTGCTGTTGCTGCTGTGGTGGTGGGTGCGATTGGTCATAGAGAGCAGGAGAGGGCGAGGGGGTGCGATGACCCTGAGTGGCAAGAACGCAAGCAGTGGGCAAAAAATGAAGACACAGGGGTAGAAGGAAGGTGAGAGACGAAGAGCAAAGCGAACACAGAAAGGGTTTCGCAATTACAACAGACTGGCTAGAAACCCTAAACCCTGGCTTCACAACACACCTGAGCCAGCGCATCGAGACTTGAAAACGACCTTGATGCTGCTCCAGCGCCCACAGCTCCAATTTCAGCAAAACAGTAAGGGACTTAGAAGTGATCACTTTGAAACACACCTGAGCCAGCGCATCAAGACTGGAAAACGACCTTGATGCCGCTCCAGCACCCACCGCTCCAGCCACACCCGCTCCCGCCCCATGCACCCCCGGCTCGGCCCGAAGCTCCTCCGCGCCCGGAGCTGGCCAGGAGGCTTGGTAAAGGGCGCCTGGCTCGTCCACGCCTGGACAAGAGACAATGGTATGGGACGGAGGAGGATAAGATGCTTGACTTGCTGAGTGTGCTAAACTAGGCATTTGAGGGTTTAGAGGTTAGTGGTCTATGGCTCTGTGGAGCCTACAGCAGTGATGGTGTTGTGCAAGGCGCTGCAATGCTACGGGGGGAAACGTAGGCACTGCATGTTACAGGGTTACGGTTTACAGGCGCCAAGCGGGGAAAAGATTTGAAAGTGTACAAAAAGAAGGATTGTCAAGGGGTTGGGAGGGCGGGAGGGTGGCTGGGAAGGGGGGGAGGATATGGGGGTTGCAAAGAGGGGCGGGGAGAAGCAAACAATGGAGGAGTAAAAGTAGATTGGTTGAAGGAATTAAGAGGCTCACCTCTGCCAGCGTGAATAGCCCCCAGAATGACCCCTGCAGCACCCGCCATTGCACCGCCGGCAGCAGCAGCAGCACCCGTAGCAGCACCAGCAGCAGTAGCGCCAGGCTTGGTAGGAGCAGCGGCAGGAGCGGCGGCAGCAGCACGAGTGGCGTCAGCTGCTGCTGCAGCCCCTGCAGCAGCCGCACCAGGAGCAGCAGCAGCAGCAGTAGCAGCACCCCCACCAGCACCACCACTAGCAGAACCAACACCAGCAGCACCAGCAGCGCCAGCAGCAGCGGCAAAGCCAGGAGGAACCTTAGCAGAGGGCTTCAGATGCGGCATAACATCCCCCAGTGGCAAAAACTGCACCCCAGGCGCCGCCTCCCCCGTCCCCGGATCCACCGGCCTCACCGGCAGCTCCAGTCCAAAAAACCCCGCCTCGTACCACCCCATGATGTCCTCTCCTGGGAACGGCCCCTGAACTTCCCCCTGAGGGTCGCGGTACTGTAGCAGGAGCTTTTCAGGTGGGACGGACGGGGTGGTGGTGGTGGGTTTGGCTGAGGGAGAGAGGGAGGTGGAGCCTGGGGGAGGTGAAGCTGGGGAAGATTGGGTGGGGTGGTCGGTTGGGTGGGTGGCTGCTGCTGTGCCAGGTGCATGCGTGGGAGGGCGTTTGTCGCCTTCTTGTGCTGCAAATACATCAGACGGAGGGTGAGGGGAAGGAATCAAAAGCGGAGGGAAAGAGGGAAAAAGGCAGATTGTACATTAGACATGAAAGCCAGGATACACGTCATAGGGATCACATCACAGGCGTGTGAAACCTGGAAATGAGCCAACTAAGCCCACACGCTCCCAGCTCCTTCCCATGCTTGCTTCCAGACCACCAGACGTCCCATGCCTCCCGCGTGTAATGAGCCACCTTTCTAGTCGACTTTTGAGAATTCTCAAATTTTGCTCACTTTTCTAGTCGACTAGAAACTCGAGCTGAGTTTATCATTCGCGTCCCATGCCTCCCCATCTCCTCCTCCCTGTTCCGAACGACACGTCATTGCATTTAAAAAAAACTTCAGAAAATGTACCGTGTTGTTTAACCGTGTCCCGGCCCTCCCGGCTCTGCTCTTTATCCGCCAATCCAAAAAACATACCAGCTTTATCTCGCGGCGGCGCGTCCTTGTCCCTGGACGCGTGCACCACGCCACTGCCCACGATCTCCCCGCTCTCAATCGCCGCCATCACCGCCTGCACATCCAGCCAGAGGCACAACCACACAGTAACATTCAGATGGTATCAGTCAGGTAATCACAGGTGAACATTGAGCGCACATGTCCCTGGATGCATGCACCACGCCGCTGCCCACACTCTCCCCGCTCTCAATCGCCGTCATCACCGCCTGCACGCCCAGATAGGCACATTCAAACAGTAGCATCTATATTATAACAATCAAACAGTACGGGTCAGTTGATGTACACAGTTGGTAACAGCCAAACAGCAACAGGCAGCTGGCAAATGGTAAAATCCACCTCCGCGCGCGCCCCCCTCCCCTCCGCTCACCTCTTCTTCCGCGCTCGCTTCCACCAGCGCCATGGGCACCAGCGGCTCCGACCCCAAAAGCGCGGGCGCCTCAGACCACTCCCCCGGGATTGCCGCGCTGAACTCCGGCGCACGCTTGTGCGCTTGGTATATCTCCAGCAGCCGCGCGCGGGGGTACCTGAACGTCTCCGCGGATGGCGGAGCGCCCGCTCCGCCAGACTCCGGGGGAGGAGCGCCGATATGCTGCGCCCTGGAGCCCTGCCCCGGAACGTCCCAGCTTCCCCCTGCCCCCCCGCCGAATCCGCGGCCCCGCGCAAAGCCTCCGCCTCCCGCGCCAGCAACGAGGGCAGAAGAGCCTGCGCCTGCTCCTGCGGCGTCGGGCGCTCCGCGCCCGCGACCCGCGAACCCAAACCCTGGCTGGAACTTGGAAAAGGGGGCGGCGGAGGATGTAGCAGTGCCCGTTGGCGGAGCCTCTCCGCGGCCCCGTCCCGCGATCGACTGCGGGCGCCACTTTCCCCCCGTCTCTGACCTCCCCGCGGTGGTGTCTCTAGTCCAGCTTCCGCCCCCCGCTCCGCCGGAGCTACCACCCCCGGGTCCCCCCGCCCCCCCCGCCCCAGCCCCAACGGCCCCTCCGCCGCCTATGTCTTTGTCAGCCTCTTTCCCCTTGTCGCTGTCTCGAGCGCCGATAGCGGGGCGGCTTCTCTCGTATTCCCTAGGTTTGTCCGATTCCTTCTCCCCCGGCAGTGTCCAGCGCGCACTTCCCCCGCTCTGCGCGGACTCCGGCGTTCCGCGCTCGCGCAGCCCGCCTCCGCCATGCCCGCTTTTCTCCCCCCAGCTCTCGCTGTGAACAACGCTTTTGTCCTTCTCTTTGTCCTTCTCCTCCGCGCTTCCCCACCGCGAGCCCCACTTCGTCTCGCGGCGCTGGTCGAAGCTCCGCGTACCGCTATCCGCCCAACGCTCCTTGCGGTAATCTACACTCCCCCCCTCCGCTCCCGCGCCAAGCCCCGGGCGGGGAGCGCCCATCCCCGGCGGATCCACCCAGCGCTCCTTCTTGACGTACCCGCCCCCCTCCCCCGCCTCCTTTCCGCTCTCCCCCCCCAACGGGGGAGCGTGTATGGACCCCCAGCGGGGATCGTTCCGCGGCTTCCCCGCCACGCTCTCGCGCTCGCGCTCGTCCTCTCCCCAGCGGTCGCTCGCCCTGTCGCGATCCATGCCCGCGCTGCGCCACCAGTCACGCTCCCGCTTCGCCTCGTCCGGCGGCGCGCCTGCTACTCCCCCCGCAGAGATACCGCCTCCGCCTATACCTCCGCCAACGCCTGCGCCTGCACCGGCCCCTCGGCCTACCTTCCACTTTCCGCCGGGAGCCTCGACACCTCGGCCATATCCCATCGGCTTAGAAGGGTCCTGGAAGGGCCACGTAAGGAGGGGGGGAACGAGACAAGGTACCGAGAGAATGAGACAAGATGCGGGAAGAACGAGACAAGTAGAAGTGAGAATGAGAGGAGACGCGGGGAGAATGGGACAAAGTTTCAGGAGGAGTATACAAGATCCAGGATGAATGGAGAGCCAGTGCTGGCGTTTAGACTCAACCAGAAAGCACGAATCGTAACCATTTCCGGGGTATACGGGAAATTAGCGCGGCTTGTTCAGTCTCGGGGAAACCCCATTGTAGGGAACCGTTAGTTTGGTAGAAAATCATTCGCTGACCTGACCGACAGGACTACGCGAGTCCGAGTGCTTCGCGGTGAGCCACTGAGGCGAAAATGCCATTGAAGAGTCCCCAGGCGACGAATGCTCTGCACGATGATACACGTCGCGGAAAAGCGCGTAAGATATTATTGGATAACGATAAACCTCCGAGATCTGACAGGCTAATGGACTAACGGAATACGTCATTGCATGTACCTTTTCCGTCAGGCGACGTTTTCGAAACTGTTCCTCCAGATATTCCTCCGCCAGATTCATCTGCGAGACGAAGCAGTGGTCAGAATCTGCGAAACCCTAATAACCAGCGAGCCTGAAGGATTCACCTACCTCGAGATTTCTTGACATCCTGGGGACGCAGAGAAATTCCCCCATTCTGAAAACCGGAAGAGTCCGACATCTTAGCGAGAATCTAATCGCGTGGCTCGTGAACGAGGCGCTTAGTCAGGTGATTACTGAGAGCTGGGTGTGCTAGTGTAGATACTAGAGAGATGTTGCAGAATGCTGTTCTGTAAACTCCAGCAGAGCAATGAAAGGAAACCGTGGAAGAGAGGATGAAAAGGGAAGGGTTGATTGCAACGAAACAACTCAACCGTTCAAAAACGTATAGAACCGCTATTTTATGCATTTTTATAATCGCATGAAATTGACTTCTTATGAAACGTTGTGGGATTGTGCCTATGAGCTAGATGGTGACAATCTCGATGTAGTCAACCTGGGTGGTGGTACAATCTAGGTTGTGGAATCCTTTTCTCGGGTAGGCTACCCAGAACTCGAACACGTCAACTGCTGGTGGTGGGTGAATTTGGGTTTGTGCTGAGATCGAAGGACTTGTGTTGAGATCGAAGGGCTTGTGTTGAGATCGAAGGGCGTGTCAAACGGCCTGGCAATTTCCACTGAATGGATCAGGAGTCGAGACGTTCTGTAGGGGGAAAAAGGAAGTTGGCATTTTTCGCTCCAGTTGCACATTTCATCGGATAAATCGGTAGTGCGGGTAAATCATCCTTTCGCGAAGTGGCTCCGAACATTGCAAATAGGCTTCCAGATACTTCGAAACAGAGCATTGTGCTGTATGTCTGCATACGTTTCATATTTGTAAACCGAATGGTGACCGTATTGCGCGAAACCACAAACGGATCTTCTTTGCCAAACAGCCAATTTCAAGCACCTGCCTTGTGGGTTCAAGATATTCCGAACTCATCATATTCTGTTGTCTGCTGTCTTTCACACAGATCTGGTTTAGGTCTCCTATTTCTTTCTTATCTACGATCTTCTAGGTTTAGTACTCAGATTTACGATTGCTACTTCTTTTGGGGTCTCTTGGTGTCGATTTCTATTTTCCTGGCAACATGACGTCCGAAGAAGTTAAGGCTAGCGAGGGTGATGCTGCTGACGCCGTCGTAGAATCTTCGCCTCCTGCTGCTGCTCCTCCAAGCGACGACGCCGCTGCGGCTGCTACTGACGATGCAGCGACGAAGCCTGACGCTGAACCGGCGAGCACGAACGGGGAGCCGGCAAGTGGCGAACCCGCTGAAGCAAACGGCGAGGAGTCGAAGGCTGAAGCCGAGGCTGCGACGACGCCTGCGAAGGAAGCTGCGAAGACGGAGGAGAAGCCGGCGGGCGAGGAAGGCACGGGTCAGCGGCGACGGAAGCGCAAGAGCCTTTGGGACACGGAGGGCCCTGACGGCAAGAAACGTGCGTGCGTGGCGAGCTCGCAACAGCGGGTTGCACGCCGCTGTGTGCTGCATGCCTCCTCCTCTGTTCCGTTTTTTTTGTTTTATTCGTTCGGCAAATGTTACGTCAATCGGCTACGCCGTTTCGCAATCGATTTATTTTTTTCCTGCATCTTCTCTTCTTTCCCACCGATTACAACCCTGTCTCGGCCTCTCTCGTGTTCGTTTCCCTTTTCCGTACCGCAGTCGAGTCTCCTGCTGTCCTAGCGTCACCAGGCACTCCCAGCGCAGCCGGCATTCTGCCAGGAGCCCCCGCGATTCCCGGTATTCCTGGAATGCCACTGGGTGCAGGCATTCTCCCCGGCGCTGCAGCGGCGATGATGATGCCGGGAGCGGCCATGGCGCAGCAGGCGCAGCTGCTGCAGCAACAGCAGCTTCTCCAGGTGATTGGCAGAATCGCAAGTGGTTTTTGAGTCTACTCTCTTGCAGCAGGCGCAGCTGTCTTGTAGACGCTTCTCAGATCGTCGTAGGTGACTGGTTTTGTTGCGGCAGTGTTTCCGAAATGTGCACTCGCGTTCCGGAATCCGCGTGTGGGAAATCGCGTGGTAGTCTGGTTTCGTTCATTCTTTTGTTTCCTTCGTGGTGACTTGAGGATTTTGACTGCCTGTTGACTTTGTCGCGTTGACTCCGTGCGTTTGCAGATGCGAGCGCTCTGGCTCACGCAACTTTTGAGTCGACTCGAAAGTCACCTCGATTTTGACCGCCTGTTGACTTTGTCGCGTTGACTCCGTGCGTGTGCAGATGCGAGCGCTGGCTCAGGCGAAGATGGCGGAGGCAGCAGCGGTGCAGCAGCAGCAGGCCACAACGACCCAGTCGAATGGTAAGTGGCTGGCGTTGCATCTCAGCACCGCAGCGTGTTTTGACTGTAGGTCAGCGTCTTTCGAGTCGAGTCAAATCGCAGCAGCAGCAGCAGCAGCAGCAGCAGCAGCAGCAGCAGCAGCAGCAGCAGCCAGCAGCAGCAGCAGCAGTCCACAGCGACTCAGTCAGTCGAATATGGCGAATGAGTGGCGTCGCATCTCAGCACCGCAGCGTCACCTCACCATCCCACCCCGCGCACTCTCCCTCCCTCCCTCCCTCCCTCCCTCCCTCCCTCCCTCCCTCCCTCCCTCCCTCCCTCCCTCACTCACTCACTCACTCCCTCCCTCCCCCACTCCCTCTCTCCTCCCTCCCATTTGCCTACAGCCCAGTGCCGCGTGTACGTGGGGAGCATATTCTACGACCTCACCGAGTCTCACATTCTAGCCAAAAGTGCTTGAGTACCTGCTCTCTCCCCCTCGCACATCTCCATCCCCATCCCCATCCCCCCCCCCCCCCCACAATCCCCTACAGCCCAGTGCCGCGTGTACGTGGGAAGCATCTTCTACGACCTCACCGAGTCCGACATTCTCACCATAGGGCCTGAGTGCCTGCAATTCCTTACCTCGCATTCACCACTCATGCCTCCTCCCACTCACCCCCCTCTGCAGCCCAGTGCCGCGTGTATGTGGGAAGCATTTTCTACGACCTCACCGAGTCTGATATTCTCCTCGCCTTCTCCCCCTTTGGTACGCGCCTCATGCGCTTTGCTGGCTGGGTTGCCTCGAGTGGCCTGGTTAACTCGTGTTTCTTTTTTCAATGACCTGGGGTGCTTGGGTGGATTGGATGGGGAGAGCGTGACGGATTTTGTACCCACCACTGATGCATGCCATTGTTGTGCGTAATGAGACGACTTTTGAGGCGCCTCAAAAGCATGACCAATTTTGTACCCACCACTGATGCATGCCATTGTCGTGTGCGCGCTTGTTGTGCTGCCCTCCTATCAGGTCCAATCACCAAGATCGACATGCCCAAGGTGTGTGTGTGTGTGTGTGTGTGTGTGTGTGTGTGTGTGTGTGTGTGTGTGTGTGTGTGTTTGTGCGCTTCTCTTCCCATCCACCCCTCAGTCCATCCCACGTCGTGTGTGTTGTCTTCCCACATGTGTGTTCCCATTGTTTGTTTCTCTCTTGTTTCCTCTTGTTTGCCAACCTGACCATTTTTCTACATCTGTCCCTTTTGCCCTCCCAACTTGTCTCAGGACGCGAGCACGGGCAAGCACAAGGGTTTCTGTTTCATCGAGTTCACCAACCCTGAAACCGCCTCCACTGCCATCGCTGCCATGAACGACTTTACCCTCGCCGGCCGGTACTTAGCCCACACTTTCTTGCCTCTCACTGGCTGGCTTGTATTTAGATCACCCGATCAAGCGTCTCACTTGATGTCCGGTACTAACTCTTGCTCGCCTGCTCAAATGTAGTCGCTGCACCCGCGGGTGTAGCGTTGAAAACCGCGAAGTGTAAGGGCTTGTCTTCGTTTTTTACTCTTCTGAGAATTCTCAAATCTAGTTGCTACACCCGCGGGTGGCGTTGGAAACCTGGAAGTGTAAGGGCTTGTCTTCGTTATTCACTCTTCACTTCACTGCTTCGCATCACGACTAAACGGACGCCGGTGGTTAGAGACTCTTCGTAAAGCGCGTCTAACCAGAACCAACATTCCTAGGCTCGTCAGCTGTGATCCGTTAGATCGCTTCATTCGTCTCGGCTGTTACTGTGCTCTGCCTTTACTTTTGAGCTGTGTCACAAGCCGTCTTGGCTAATTATCGTGTTCTGGCCTTTCTCTCTGTACGTGCGTCTTTTCCCTCTGCTTTCGTTTCCCTGCGTTTGTCTTTCTTTCTCTCTCTTTCTTTCCTTTTCTTTCTCTTCTCCTGTTTCTGCCTTTTCTGCGTCTGTGCGTATCTTTACCCGTCTGCCCCTGTTTTATCTTTTCCTTCCATTTTTGCCACAATTTGTTTTCTCCGTTTTCACCTGCTGCTGTTGCATGCCTCCTATCCTGCAACATCACCCCCCATCAGTCACACGCATTTAAAAGAAACACCTCACATGTCCTCCCGTTATAAGCACCAGATTTCCACAAATCACCCAGCATGCACCACACATGCAGCTTTTTCCAACCCACCTGCACTCACACGAGTATAAAGCTCATGAAAATCTTAAATCTCGGAACAATAGAACCCTTCGTTTTCTTGAACGCTGCCGATTTGATCGCCTGCTCCACCAACGGGGCCAAGGGGTGCAAAAGGAGGCCCTGGTGTTGCTGCTGTGCTGGTGCTGCGTCTGATGGTTTGTGGCCTATAATCCCGTTCTTTTCTATCACTGCTTTTTTCTTCACAAGTGCACACATCAACCCTCCCTAAAATTATCATTTGTCCTTTGAAGCCTTGTGACTAATGGTATTTATCTGTGAATCTTTCTTCATGCAACAATGCACGCTCATCAAAGCTTGTCCTTTCCTGGAACATGTGCTTTTTTACGTTTTGGAATAAAGGAAACAATCAGCTGTTTGTTAGCACTCCCTTGTTGTTGCTTCACGCATCTGTGTCTTCTAGCTTGGCGTCACCTCTCCCAGCATGTCCTATGAGATTCTCCCCCCCCCCCCCCCCTCTCCCGATTTTTTTTTTCTCAGCTCTTTCTCTCTTCCCCCCCTGTCCCACTAATTTTTCTCATAAGGATTCTCTCGTATGTTCAGCCTATCTTCGTCTCCCTTCACGCTCCCTCCTGCCCTAAGTTCCTCCCCTTTTCTCCCCAGCCCACCTTTCTTTCCCCTCTCCCACTCTCCGTCCCTCCCCCACCACTCAGCTCTTGTCCTTACCTCCCCCTTCCCCCTCCCCCTCCCGCTTCCCCCTCCCCTCCTTTCCCCACGACAACCATGCATCAGGCGCATCAAGGTCGGCCGTCCCAACAACATCGCTTCCCCTTCGCCTGCTGCGCAGACCATTGCCAACCGTGAGTGCCCTGCCCTGTCCTGAATCCCCCAACCGTGGTGCCCTGTGCCCCCTCAACCTGTGTCCTTCCTCTCATCGCCTATGTTTCCACTTTCCTCCCCCATCCACCCACCCACCCACCCCCCTCTCGCTCTGCCACTGATCTCTTTGAATTTCTTTTTAAGGCGCCTCAGAAGCTGTCTCCTTTTCCCTTCCCCCAACCCTATCGGCCACTCATCTCCTCGAATGTGTCTTCTTCCTCCCATTGGAACACCTCGGGAGGAAGACACATTCGAGGAAGACACAAATGTGCCCTTCTCATTCCTATGCCCCCTTTTCCGCCCTCCCCCTCTTTTCCCCTCTCCCTCCGCCCCTCTGCCCCTCGTTTCCTCTCTCTCCGCCCATTTGCCCCCCTGCCCCACCCTCTCGCCCCTCTGCCCCTCTGCCTCTCTCTCTGACCGGCACCAGCTCTCGCGTTCAACCAAGCTGCATTGGCGGCACCCAACCCCAACCTCCTCGCCACTGCCAAGCTCCAGGCGCAGGTGAGTTCGCATTGCAGGTGTAGGTGGCCCTTCAGGTGGTTTAAGGGTTCAGGTGGCGTTTCAGGTGGGTTGGGGTTTCAGGTGCCGTTCAGGTGGGTTGGGGTTTAGGTGGGCTTTTAGCTGGTTTGACGTTCAGGTGTGGCTCTATGATTCTTTCCAGGCTGTTTTCTGGCCTGGGAGCATGGCCTTTTTTGCCTGGCCCATAGATCACTGTTCACTGCCCCATATTTGACTGCCCACCCACTGTTCACTGCCCCATATCTATTTGCTCGCAGGTGATCGCGAGCAGCATCAACCAGAAGGTCCCAGGGGTGGCAGAGGTGCCCCAGAAGCCAGCAGTGAACACGCGGGTGTATGTGGGTTCCATTGTCTACGACCTTGCAGAGCCCGACATCATGGCCATCTTCCAGGCCTTCGGCCCCATCAAGGTGGGTCTGAATTGCGGCTCTGAGGGGCTGTGGGGGTTGTGGGGGGGTGCGGGGCCTGCTGGGGGATGCATTGGTGCCACAGAGCCAGCGGTGAACACGCGGTTGTATGTGGGGTCGGTTGTATGTGGGGTCGGTTGTATGTGGGGTCTGTTGTATGTGGGGTTGGTTGTATGTGGGGTCGGTTGTATGTGGGGTCGGTTGTATGTGGGGTCCATCGTGTACGACCTTGCAGAACCGGATATCATGGCCATCTTCCAGGCCTTCGGCCCCATCAAGGTGCGTTCTTTTGTTACCCATCAATGTGCAATTTTCTGCTTCGGCAAGTCATTGTTGCTGCAGTCTACCATCCTTACCAAATCTCTCAGCCACCGCTGCAGTCTCTCACGTTTCTTCCTCGTATCCTGCTTCCCTCCTTCCCCACTCCCCCTTCCCAATGCTTCCTTGGCCTTGAGTGAACCTAATGCTATATTGCTCACTCCGCCTCTTTGCTCATTCCCTGTCCCCCTGTCCCACCCGATCATTCAATCTGCAGTCATGCCAGCTCATTCCCAACCCTGACACGGGCAAGCACAAGGGCTACGGTTTTGTTGAGTGAGTCAACGTTCTTGTTACCCCGCCTCTTTCCTCGGCTTCTCCTACTTCTTAGTTTCTCCCGTTTCACTCCGTTTCTGCTGTTTGTGGTGCGATTGTGTGCGTGTTTTTTCACTCCATGTGCAAGTGTGATTCATTCTTGGAACAATGTTTGTCTGTTTCTTTCTTTCTTTCTTTCTTTCTTTCTTCTTTTTTTTTTCTTTTTGGCCTTGTCTAGTTGAGGCTGTAGCCGGTTTTTTACTGTTCCCACAGTTGATGTCATCATCCCTTACAACCCTCCCTTCTCTTCCCTCTCCCCTCCCCCTACCCCCTCTCCCCCCGCCCTTTCTCCTCCTCGTTCCTCCCCCCCTCCCTTCCCTGCGCCGTGTTTGCAGGTTTGAGACAGAGGAAGCAGCCAAGGGTGCCATTCAGTGCATGAATGGGTTTCAACTGGGTGGCAGACAGCTCAAGGTGGGTGGCAGACAGCTTAAGGTGGGTGGCAGACAGCTCAAGGTGGGTGGCAGACAGCTCAAGGTGGGTGGCAGACAGCTCAAGGCGGGTGGCAGACAGCTCAAGGCGGGTGGCAGACAGCTCAAGGCGGGTGGCAGACAGCTCAAGGCGGGTGGCAGACAGCTCAAGGCGGGTGGCAGACAGCTCAAGGCGGGTGGCAGACAGCTTAAGGCGGGTGGCAGACAGCTCAAGGTGGGTGGCAGACAGCTCAAGGTGGGTGGCAGACAGCTCAAGGTGGGTGGCAGACAGCTCAAGGTGGGTGGCAGACAGCTCAAGGTGGGTGGCAGACAGCTTAAGGCGGGTGGCAGACAGCTTAAGGTGGGTGGGTGGGAACACCGCAAGGCGGGCGGTAGACTGCTGAAATGGGTGGCAGGCAGACTGCCGAAATGGGTGGCAGACTGCCGAAATGGGTGGCAGACTGCTCAAATGGGTGGTTGCTGCTCACATTGCGTTGAAAGGGCATGACATGGCACGGCATGGGCACCACGCTCCCAACAGCCGCCCCACCAGTCAATGATGGTTTCTCACCTGCCTTCCACCTCCTCGCCTACCTTCCTTCCCACTCACTCCACACTCCCTCCCTTCTTTTCGCCCAGGTCGGGTGGGCCTCAGCCTCTCATGCCCCAACTGCTGGTTCACCAACAGCACCCACCTTCCCAAGCGGCATTCCAAGCATGCCTGCTCTTAATTTGGATTCTCGTGTGCTCTCCTCCTGCACGTTCATTTCACTCCCTTCCTCCGTGCCGCAGCGCAGGTCGGGTGGGCTTCAGCATCCCACGCCCCAACTTCTGCCTCACCAGCAGCACCCGCCTTCCCAAGCGCCATGCCAGGCATGCCGGCTATCCCGGGTTTCCCTGGGGCTGCCCTGCCCGCAGCAGCAGGAGGGGCCGGGCTGATGGGTGCAGTGCCTGGCGCTGTTGCTGCTGCCTCCCCAGCAGAGGTAAGACTGGCATTCCCAGATGGGCATTTTCAGGTACTTCCAAAATCCTTTTCAGGTCTCCGAGGTTACATGCCATGCGTGCCATGCGTTTCTTTCCTTATATCTGCGCACTTGCGTTCCCATATGAACTCACGGCCGCTTTTCTCTCTCGTTCTCTCTCGTTCTCTCTCGTTCTCTCCCGTTCTCTCCCCCCCGCCTTTCCCTGCTTCTCCACCTGCCCTTTCCCCCGCCTCTTCCCCACCTCTCTCCATTTGTCCGTCCCTCCAGGCAGCAGTGCCGCTGCCTGCGTCCCCCTGTCGCTGCATTGTGATGCGGAACATGGTCACCCCGGAGGAGGTGGCTCTGAGACATCTCAAGACTCAACTTTGTTCCTCCCCTTTCCCCCCCTCCCGCCACCCCTCCACCTCGCCCCTGCCCTCTGCATCTGTCCACACCAGGCGGCGGCGTCCCTGCCAGCGTCCCCCTGTCGCTGCATCGTGATGCGGAACATGGTCACTCCAGAGGAGGTGGATGATGACCTGCAGAGCGAGGTGAGGGCAGGCAGCACATGCGATTATCTGCCAGGCATGGGCATGGTCATGGGCATGGGCATGGGCATGGGCATGGGCATGGGCATGGGCATGGGCACGGGCATGGGCATGGGCATGGGCATGGGCACGGGCATGGGCATGGGCATGGGCATGGGTTGCACGGGCACGGGCATGGGCATGGGCATGGGCATGGGCATGGGCATGGGTATGGGCACGGGCATGGGCATGGGCATGGGCATGGGCATGGGCATGGGCATGGGCATGGCATGGGCATGGGCATGGGCATGGGCATGGGCATGGGCATGGGCATGGGCATGGGCATGGGCACGGGCACGGGCATGGGCATGGGCATGGGCATGGGTATGGGCACGGGCACGGGCATGGGCATGGGCATGGGCATGGGCATGGGCATGGCATGGGCATGGGCATGGGCATGGCAGATGATCCCATACAACCCTAATATTACCGCTTGCAACTGCAACATGTTTTCGTCTGATCGACCAACCTCAGTGACCAGTCCATTGCTTGAAGAGCACTCAAAAGCGACTCAGCTTCTTTCACAAGTTCTTTCGCGATACTTGAAACCCTCGATTCCTCACTCCGTGCCTCCCCATGTCTCATGCCCCTCTACCCATGCCGTCTCCCTTCTAATACAGGTGACAGACGAATGTGGCAAGTTTGGAAAGGTGGAGCGGGTTGTCATCTACCAGGTGGGTAGTTCTTTCATCAGGTGAATGCTTTTAGGTGAATACCTGTTAGGTAAATGCTCTCAGTTGAATACCTGTCAGGTGAATGCTCTCAGGTGAATACCTGTCAGGTGAATGCTCTCAGGTGAATACCTGTCAGGTGAATGCTCTCAGGTGAACACCTGATAGGTGAATGCCTTCAGGTGAAAATTTATCGGTTTTTTGGTTTCTGCCCAGGTTTTTCCGGGTTCTAAAGTGATCGAGCTTGTGGCTCACCGCTTCCCCCATTCCTGCTGCCCGTTCGGTGCCCTGTGTGCAGGAGCAACAATCGGAGAAGCCAGGCGATGCGATTGTGAAGATCTTTGTTCTCTTCTCAAGCACCCCAGGTGAAGCTTCAAGCAATGATTCATGCTCCTCCAACCGCCCCACCCACCTCACCCACCTCCCCTTTTTCCTTCCCCCATTCCTCTACCCGCCCTCTTCCCCCCCTTTCCCTCAGCCTTCCACTTGTTCTCTTGCTGGCTGGTTCCCTCTCTTTGTCTCCCTGTACCCTTCCTCTCTTTCACACACGCACACATGGACTTGAAAAATGTGCTCACTCAAACACAGCACACTTACACACAGCTCTTCATTTGTTCCTTCCAACTTTGTTTGCATGGCATGTTGTGTTTGACATGGCATGGCATGGCAATCGCATGCCGTGCACTCTTCTCTTGGTGTTCAATGTGGTGCCCATGGGAGCAGAGGCACAGGCAGCGCAGCAATCGCTGCACAACAGATGGTTCGGAGGCCGGCAGGTCATTGCAAGGTCAGTGCAGCACCTTGCTTTCCCCTCAAGCCTCAATATTGGTTCTTCCTTTTGTCGTCTTGTGCAGCATGCATATGCTTCCGTTTTGTGTTGCACGGTACTGTTCTTGTCCTCTTGATTTCACTGTACCCCACCTCCTACAGTTGATCACCAGCACACTGACTGAATCCCACACGTTTCATGAGGCTCCCTGCTGTGATTCTTCTGTTGTTTGTGTGACTGCAATTTCGTACACCTTGTTTCGTTGACTTTTTCCTTGGCAGCTTCTATCCGGAAGTGCTGTTTGCCCGAAACGATTTCTCGCGCTGAGTGGTCTCGGATCGGAGTCAAGACTTGTTTTTTTTTTCCCTGATGTATGCTGTTCATGCATAATGCGCTTCTTGTAGGATGTATTTTGTAGATTTCACACAAGAACTGGGGCGAACCGATGAGTTGGTAGCTCCTATTACAAATATAGAGGAGGCTTTGAGTTCCTCTAGATTTTTAGCTGTTCGATTTATTCATGTTAGTTTTTGTGGCATATGGACAACAATCTCAACTGATGTTTCTATTGAGTGTACTGGCGTGCATGTTCTGAAAACTTCCCCCACCTCCCGCTGCCCCCCATGCCCATGCACAAGGATTGCGCCTCCCCGTTCCCTTGCGCGCGGAATTGGGACGTGCATGAACAAATTCATCTTGTTCATTCCATGGCGTCTGCATTCTCCCTCACGGTAGTGTGTCGCCGAATCGCGTCATCCGCGCGCCTTAGTCTAATTACCACTGGTAGCCTCCGTCAAGCCTCTTCAGCTTCCGCCGGTTCCGTGCCGCCAGGGATTGCGTCTGGTTCTTCCGCTATTGTCGGTTCGTCTGGTCCCAGCGCTGGAATTTTCACGCAGTCCAGATTCCTCTCGTTTCTCGGCAGCCGTCAGTCAGATTCTCGGTCAAATTCCCGCTGTGTGTCGACCCTAGGCCCGGGACTATCATCGGCGGTTGGAGCTACGTGCGTGGAGTCTCCTTTTTCCGTTTTCCAAAGACACATGGCGACGGCTGGACAAGTTATCAAGTGCAAGGGTGAGAAAATCAACGTCACTAAAGATTTCATCGAATTTCACTGGATTCGGGTTCTCAAGCGTAGTATTTCAAGAGATTCTCCCTGAATCCGCTATTATCACGTGGTGCTTATTACGGAAAGCTTCGTCTCACCTCACCTTCAGCAGCGGATGGTGTCATGCGGACCCAACAAGCCGTAAGGAACTTGATCACCACTTTTTGTTTTGCCAGTCGACTAAAGAATCGATGTTTCTTTCTTTCATTCTTTCTTTATGACCCCTTCTTACTGTTTATTCCTTGACTCCTTACATGCAGCGGCGGTGACGTGGCCGCCGAACAAGCCGTTGGTGATGGGGGAGGTGGAGGTGGCGCCTTCTCGCTTCTGTGTCTTCATATATTGTATATTTGAATTTCTGGCCTAAAGTTTTGCAACTCCCTGTGTGCAGCGGCGGTGGCGTGGGCGCCAAACAAGCCACCGGTGATCGAGGAGGTAGAGGTGGCGCCTTTTCACTCATGTGTCTTTTCTTATTGCAGCTTTGTTTCTTGAGCCTAAGATTTTGTAGATTGCTTGCGTGCAGCGGCGGTGGCGTGGGCGCCGAACAAGCCGCTGGTGATCGAGGAGGTGGAGGTGGCGCCGCCACAGGCGGGGGAGGTGCGAATCCGCATCACACACACCGCGCTCTGCCACACTGACGCGTACACTCTCGACGGCCACGACCCCGAGGGGCTCTTCCCCTGCATTCTTGGACACGAGGCTGCTGGGTGAGTGTGCTTTTGTGTGCTGCTGTGTACTGAGGGTGGATGCGACAGGTGTACCTGGTTCTTATTGCCTGGTTGAATCGGACGCATACACTTTGGAGGGCCACTATCCTGAAGGGGTCTTCCTCTGCATCCTCAGGCACGAGGCTGCTGGGTGCGTACCTGTGTGCTGCTGTGTAGTATGGCTGTCACAGATGGTAAATTCTACAGCAGGGCGAGATGACTTTTGGGGTCGACTCAATAGTTGACTCGACGGCCATGTGTTATCGTTCCACCAAGCTAAATATCAACGTCTTTCTCTGACTCCTCCCAACCTGCCTGCATAGTGGAGAGCATGGGAGAGGGTGTGACAAGCATGCAGCCGGGCGATCATGTGATTCCGTGCTACCAGGCGGAATACCAACATCTCTCTCTTACCCTCCCCTCCTCTTTCTCTGCCAGCATAGTGGAGAGTGTGGGTGAGGGAGTGACGAGCGTGCAGCTGGCCGATCATGTGATTCCGTGCTACCAGGCGGAATGCCACGGTCTCTCTGTTACCTTCACTCTTTCTACCAGGCGGATTAAGAACGTCCCTCTCCTCCCTTTTTTTTCCTCCTCCTCTCTTTTTGTAAAACCCTGCCAGCATCGTGGAGAGTGTGGGCGAGGGAGTCACGAGTGTGCAGCCAGGCGACCATGTGATTCCGTGCTACCAGGCGGAGTGCCGCGAGTGCAAGTTCTGCAAGTCCGGGAAGACCAACCTGTGCGGCAAGGTCCGCCCCGCCACTGGTGAGTGAGTGAGGGAGCATGAGTGTTTGTCTTCTCTAGTCCTCCAGGTGAATGTGATTGACCGTCCCCTAATTCTAACGTGCAAGTTCTGCAAGTCCGGGAAGACCAACCTGTGCGGCAAGGTCCGCCCCGCCACTGGTGAGTGAGTGAGGGAGCATGAGTGTTTGTCTTCTCTAGTCCTCCAGGTGAATGTGTTTGACCGTCCCCTGGTCCTAACGTGCAAGTTCTGCAAGTCAGGGAAGACCAACCTGTGCGGCAAGGTCCGCCCCGCCACAGGTGAGTCAGGGAGCACGAGTGCTGCTCCTGCTCGTTCTCTCAGCAAATTGCGTATGCATTGCATTCAGGTTTTTTTTCTCTTTCTTTCTTTTCTAGTGCTTTCAGAATGTATCATTCTTCTTCCGACAGGCCGCAGTGTGATGTGATGCTCTCGGATGGCAAGCCTTTTGAGTCGACTCACAAGCAGCAGTGTGATGTGATGCTCGTGCATGGCAAGCAGCAGTGTGATGCTCGTGCATGGCAAGCAGCAGTGTGATGCTCGTGGATGGCAAGCAGCAGTGTGATGCTCGTGGATGGCAAGCAGCAGTGTGATGCTCGTGGATGGCAAGCAGCAGTGTGATGCTCGTGGATGGCAAGCAGCAGTGTGATGCTCGTGGATGGCAAGCAGCAGTGTGATGCTCGTGGATGGCAAGCAGCAGTGTGATGCTCGTGGATGGCAAGCAGCAGTGTGATGCTCGTGGATGGCAAGCCGCGCTTCTCGGTGCGCAGGGAGGCCATCGTCCACTTCATGGGCACGAGCACGTTCAGCGAATTTATTCATGATTCTCCCCTCTCTCTTCCCATCTCCTCTCTTCCTTCAGGCCGTGGTGTGATGCTGTTGGACATGAAGCCGCGCTTCACCGTTAGGGGCGAGCCCATCTACCACTGCTTTTGAGTCGACTCAAAAGCACCGTTAGGGGCGAGCCCATCTACCACTGCTTTTGAGTCGACTCAAAAGCACCGTTAGGGGCGAGCCCATCTACCACTGCTTTTGAGTCGACTCAAAAGCACCGTTAGGGGCGAGCCCATCTACCACTGCTTTTGAGTCGACTCAAAAGCACCGTTAGGGGCGAGCCCATCTACCACTGCTTTTGAGTCGACTCAAAAGCACCGTTAGGGGCGAGCCCATCTACCACTGCTTTTGAGTCGACTCAAAAGCACCGTTAGGGGCGAGCCCATCTACCACTGCTTTTGAGTCGACTCAAAAGCACCGTTAGGGGCGAGCCCATCTACCACTTGATGGGCACGAGCACGCTCAGCGAGCCTTCCCCCTCCCCTCTCTCTCTTCCCTCACACACAGGCCGCGGTGTGATGCTATCAGACGACAAGCCGTGCTTCTCCGTCCGTGGGGAACCCATCTACCATTTCATGGGCACAAGCACGTTCAGTGAATACACCCACTATCTCTACTCACTGCTCTCTCTCCTTTCCTTCCCCTCTCGTTCGTCTCTCACCACAGGCCGTGGTGTGATGCTGTCTGACGACAAGACGCGATTCTCTGTGAGGGGCGAGCCTATCTATCACTTCATGGGCACGAGCACGTTCAGCAAATGCACTCACCGACTCCACTCCTCGCTCCCTCCTTCCCACACACACAGGCCGTGGTGTGATGCTGTCTGACGACAAGCCGCGATTCTCTGTGAGGGGCGAGCCTATCTATCACTTCATGGGCACGAGCACGTTCAGCGAGTACACAGTGGTTCACGATGTCTCAGTTGCCAAGATCAACCCAGAGGCACCGCTCGACAAAGTGTGCTTGCTGGGCTGCGGCATCCCCACCGGTAAGTGAGGGAGCTCATGGCCCGTGGTGTGCCCTCCTCCCCCTTCCCCAACCCACCCCCCACTCTCTTTGGCCTCCTCTATCTATTCCATCCATGCGTGTGGAACTGTGGAACACAGTCTAGGTTGATCCCTCCTTCAATCCTTCACCGCCCTTGACCACCTTGAACCGCTTTGAACCGCCCTACTTCGAACTCTCCCTTCAACCATCCTTCTACTGGCAGGGCTGGGAGCGGTGTGGAATGCAGCCAAGGTGGAGCCCGGTTCCACTGTTGCCATCTTTGGGCTGGGCACCGTTGGGCTCGCGGTGAGTCACAGCTGGCAGTGGTGGTGGTGGGATGCAGGTTGTGGTGGGATCCAGGTTGTGGTGGGATGCAGGGGAGTGACTGATTCAATGGTAAGGCGTGCATGTGATGAGTACTGCTGCATGATGAATGGCGAGTGCAGCCAACTTTTGAGTCGACTCAAAGGCAATTTGTGGTGGGATGCAGGGGGGTGACTGACTCACTGGTAAGGCTTGCATGTGATGGGTTCTGCTGCATGATGAATGGCGAGTGCAGCCAAGGTGGAACCCGGACTCACTGTTGCCTTTTGAGACGTCTCAAAAGAGTGCAGCCAAGGTGGAACCCGGACTCACTGTTGCCTTTTGAGACGTCTCAAAAGAGTGCAGCCAAGGTGGAACCCGGACTCACTGTTGCCTTTTGAGACGTCTCAAAAGAGTGCAGCCAAGGTGGAACCCGGACTCACTGTTGCCTTTTGAGACGTCTCAAAAGAGTGCAGCCAAGGTGGAACCCGGACTCACTGTTGCCTTTTGAGACGTCTCAAAAGAGTGCAGCCAAGGTGGAACCCGGACTCACTGTTGCCTTTTGAGACGTCTCAAAAGAGTGCAGCCAAGGTGGAACCCGGACTCACTGTTGCCTTTTGAGACGTCTCAAAAGAGTGCAGCCAAGGTGGAACCCGGACTCACTGTTGCCATTTTCGGCCTGGGCACTGTTGGGCTCGCGGTGAGTCAAGTGGACGACTTTGATTTAGTCAAGTGGAGACGTCTCAAAAGGCACTGTTGAGCTCGCGGTGAGTCACGTGGACGACTTTGATTCAGTCAAGTGGAGACGTCTCAAAAGGCACTGTTGGGCTCGCGGTGAGTCAAGTGGACGACTTTGATTCAGTCAAGTGGAGACGTCTCAAAAGGCACTGTTGGGCTCGCGGTGAGTCAAGTGGACGACTTTGATTCAGTCAAGTGGAGACGTCTCAAAAGGCACTGTTGGGCTCGCGGTGAGTCAAGTGGACGACTTTGATTCAGTCAAGTGGAGACGTCTCAAAAGGCACTGTTGGGCTCGCGGTGAGTCAAGTGCTTCTTTGATGCGGCAAGGATTGGCCGGGCCACTTTCTGGGTTCTCGGTGAGTTACAGTCTGGAGTGGTGGTGGTGGCGTGCCTCGTGCGTCACATGGTATGGTAACTTGTGTTGTCGGCTTTGTTGCCTGGGTGCCCAATGCGTGTCTAGTTTTTTATAGGCTCTTCTATTCTGGAGTGCTTATGTGTGGCAGGTGGCAGAGGGAACTGACTTTTGAGTCAACTCAAAAGTGAAATGCATGTCTAGTTGATGATAGGCTATGCGTCTGACTTGGAGTCTTCTGTGCTGGAGTGCTCATGTGTGGCAGGTGGCGGAGGGCGCAAAGGCAGCCAAGGCATCGCGCATCATAGGCGTTGATATCGACCCGACCAAGTTCGACACAGGTGTGCTTTGTGTGCACATGCATTCATGCATGCCTGGTGTGCTTTGTGTGCACATGCATTCATGCATGCCTGGTGTGCTTTGTGTGCACATGCATTCATGCATGCCTGGTGTGCTTTGCGTGCACATGCATTCATGCATGCCTGGTGTGCTTTGCGTGCACATGCATTCATGCATGCCTGGTGTGCTTTGTGTGCGCACTTGCTTATGGGTGGCAGGTGGCGGAGGGTGTCAGAACTTAGGCTTAGAACTGATGCATTAGTAATGAGCTTGAAGCTCTTTAAGTACATCCAAGAAGGGCAAGGAATGGATGGGGAAGGGAATTGGGGGCAATCCCTAGGGATTGGGGGTAATCCTAAGGCAATCTCCAATTGGTGGGTTGGAGATTGCTTGGAGATTACATTTGGGTTTGGTTGGGATGTAGGTGTACACCCAACCAATCACAAAGTGCAAACTACACTACTCTAGGATATAGAAAATATAAAGTACGAAGTGTGAGATTGAGGGCTAACACTAACGGAGGGGGCCAAGGCAGCCAAGGCATCGCGCATTATAGGCGTGGACCACCACCTTGAGAAGTTTGAAAGAGGTGGGATGCTGTGCACGTACATGCTTGATGTGACAAGGCGTCCATTCAAGCATGCTTGGTGTGACAAAGCGTCCATTCATGCATGCTTGGTGTGACAAAGCGTCCATTCAAGCATGCTTGGTGTGACAAAGCGTCCATTCATGCATGCTTGGTGTGACAAAGCGTCCATTCAAGCATGCTTGGTGTGACAAAGCGTCCATTCATGCATGCTTGGTGTGACAAAGCATGCACTCACGCATGCTGGGTGCGGTCAACGCCTATGATGCCTACCAAGTCGCGCATCATTGGCGTGGACCACCAGCTTGAGAAGTTTGAACGAGGTGGGGAGGGTCGTCATGTGTAGGTTGGTACACATTTCACAACGTGGTGCCACTCCAAGTGTATCAAACCAACCAAGTAGTGGCAGCCAAGGCATCGCGCATCATTGGAGTGGACCTCGGCCCTTCCAAGTTTGAAAAAGGTGGGATGCTTTGCGCATGCGCCCTGTGACACATGAAATACACGCATGCATGCAAGAGTTTAGCCGCGAGCCTAGCGCCCCAACTCCAACTAGTGAGTGTCAGCCAAGGCATCGCGCATCATTGGATTGGACCTCGACCCTTCCATGCTTGAAACAGGTGGGGTGCTTCGCACAAGCATGCATGCCTGCAAGGACGTAATGATGACGCACCACATGTACCGAGTAGCAGCAGCAACAGCCAAGGCATTGTGCTCCGTGGTGAGCCTCACAGACGAAGGGTTGGACTACAGCTTTTAGCGCATCCATCATTCCCTTCACTTCCCCTCCCCTTGCAGCCAAGGATTTCAGAGTGACCGGTTTCGTGAATCCTAAGAACCACAACCCCTGATTCAAGGCGTGCTAGTCGAGCTGACAGACAGCACGGTGGACTACAGCATTGAGTGCGTCCCTCTTTCCCTTCCCCTCTTATCCCTCGTCTTCCCTTCTATTTTCCACACCAATTCTCTCCTACAGCCAAGCAATTCGGAGGGACTGAGTTTGTGAATCCCAAGGACCACAGCCTCGTGGAGCTGATAGACGGAGGAGTGAACTACAGCTTCGAGTGCATCTGTCTTTCCGTCCCCCTCTTTTCCTTAATTGTCCCTTCTTTTCCCCTCGCCCTTCCTCTTCTGCAGCCAAGGCATTCGGTGTGACCGAGTTTGTGAATCCCAAGGACCACAGCCGGCCCATTCAGGAAGTTCTGGTAGAGCTGACGGACGGGGGAGTGGACTACAGTTTTGAGTGCATCGGCAACACAGCAGTCATGCGGGCAGCGCTGGAGTGCTGCCACAAGGGGTGGGGCGAGTCGGTGATCATAGGAGTGGCAGCGGCTGGGCAGGAGATTTCCACGCGGCCGTTCCAGCTGGTCACGGGGCGTGTGTGGCGCGGCACGGCGTTTGGCGGGTTCAAGAGCCGGACCCACGTGCCAGAGCTTGTGGACAAGTATTTGAACAAGGTATGTGTTATCTGTGCATGTGGTGTGTGATCCTGTGAGCTTGTGGACAAGTATTTGAACAAGGTATGTGTTATCTGTGCATGTGGTGTGTGATCCTGTGAGCTTGTGAGCCTGGGGGGTGCACGAATGAGGGTAGGGGCGTGGAGGGTTCATGCGCGCTGCGCTGGAGTGCTGCCACAAGGGGTGGGGCGAGTCAGTGATTATCAGAGTCGCAGCAGCAGGGCGGGAGATCTCCACGCGGCCATTTCAGCTGGTCACGGGGCGTGTGTGGCGCGGCACGGCTTTCGGGGGATTCAAGAGTCGCACGGATGTGCCTCAGCTGGTGGACAAGCATATGAACAAGGTAGGTGTTATTTGTGCATGTGGTGTGCGAGGTGCATGAGCAGTATGCATGTGCAGTACGCATGTGCAGTACGCATGTGCAGTACGCATGTGCAGTACGCATGTGCAGTACGCATGTGCAGTACGCATGTGCAGTACGCATGTGCAGTACGCATGTGCAGTACGCATGTGCAGTACGCATGTGCAGTATGCATGTGCAGTACGCATGTGCAGTACGCATGTGCAGTACGCATGTGCAGTACGCATGTGCAGTACGCATGTGCAGTACGCATGTGCAGTACGCATGTGCAGTACGCATGTGCAGTACGCATGTGCAGTACGCATGTGCAGTATGCATGTGCAGTCAGGAGCACAGGCCTTTCTTTTGTTGTATTACTAACTGTTTTCATTTCTCGACCACTCTTGTGTGTCATCCCACCAACAGGAGATCAAGGTAGACGAGTGCATCACACACAACCTGCCTCCATCTTTCCATGCTAACTCTCTCGATCTCTCCACATCTCTCCCCCTCTCCACATTTGTACGCATCAACAGGAGATCAAGGTGGACGAGTGCATCACACACAACCTCGCTCTTCCTCTCTGCTCTCCTCAACCTTTTTCTTGCCCCCTTGTGTTACCCGGTAAAAGGAGATCAGGGTGGACGAGTGCATCACGCACAACCTGCCTCTCTCTCACACACTATCCGTCTTTCTCTCTGCTCTCCCCAACCTTTTTCTTGCCCCCTTGTGTTACCCGGTAACAGGAGATCAAGGTGGACGAGTGCATCACACACAACCTCTTCTCATCCTACCACTCTCCTCACTTCCTCTTTCTACCCACCCCTTCCTGCATGTTACCCGGTAACAGGAGATCAAGGTAGATGAGTACATCACGCACAACCTCCCTCTCTCGAAGATCAACGAGGCCTTTGACTTGCTGCATGGGGGCAAGTGCCTGCGCGCTGTGATTCACATGGAGGAGCAGTGATACGTGTGTCACGGCACTTCTCTCTCACTAGGATAGACGAGGCCTTTGACTTGCTGCATGGTGGCAAGTGCCTGCGCGCTGTGATTCACATGGAGGAGCAGTGATAGGATGCAGGGAAAAGAGGATTACAAGTGTTGGGAGTGAGGTTGGGGGTGTTAAGAGCATACGTTTTCCTCTCGAAGATCAACGAGGCCTTTGACCTGCTGCACGGGAGCGAGTGCCTGCGTGCTGTGATTCACATGCAGGAGCACCAGTGATAGGTTGACATGACAAGTGAAGAAAATGCTTTGGCACTATGGGAGTGAGGCCGAGGTGTTGCTAGAGTATCCTCATACCCTCACAGCTCCTTTTGATGCTATTACAGGAGTTCGAGTGATGGTACCCTTCCTTCTACATATAACTTAGGAGTTTCGTTTCTCTGGAATGATGCAGTGCTGTGCCTAGGAGCACTGGTTTTGTGGACGTTTTAATAACCGTGAGATTGGTGATTCGTTTATCTTTGGCCTCATGGTGTATGACTCTTGGCAGAACCGAACCGCGACTGTGCTTCATACCGTATTGGTTATAGCCCAGTAAGGCATTGAAAATAGTAGCGGCTGGGAGGAAATGGCTACCGTATTAGCGTCAATCTACAACAATCATTGCGATCTGAAAGCCCATCAACAGCTTCTAACACCAAACTGAGCCTCAGGGCCTAGCCTCGTGTTTCACACCCCTAGCTGCTAGGGAACAAACTAACCACCTAGGATTCCGCACATTTCTGCCTCTTTTTGTGCTGGACAAAGCTACACCTAGGTGGTGCCAGCACACGAAGTGCCACAGCATGAATCTTCCAGAGCTCTCAGTAGCTGATGTGACAAGACAACCCCGAAACACACACCCATCGTAAGGAGGGGAAAAAGTTACCGTAGATTTTCCAGAAAACGGGTCGGATCAACTGGGCATTCTGATGGGCTGCGCATGCGAATACTGGGACTGAAGTGTCGAGTTGACCACACTGGATTGGAAAGCGCAGCCATCTCGAAAATGACAGAAGCAACGGTGGATTGTCACATTGCATAGCATGGGGTGTTGTGCAGTGGAATGGCGTGGAATAGGGTGCAAAGGGGTGCAAAGGGGTGGACCTGCCGGTGCTAGTGAGCCGAGTTGACGACTTTGGATAGTGCATCCATTCCAGGGATGGCAGAAGCTACAGTTGATGGAATTGATTGGCGGCGGGTTGGGACGATCATGACCGCACAATTAGCAGCGTGTGCCACGTGGTCGCTCACGCTCCCCAGTAGGACCCTGACACGAGAGCGGAAAAGCAGAGAAGAAGGAACAGAGGAAAGGGTGAGCAATTGAGGGGTGGGGGATGCAATTACTCATGTGCTTAAGGACAATCGTGACCGCACAGCTCGCAGTGTGTGCCACGTTGTAACTCACACTCCCCAAAAACACCCTGGAATGAGAGTGGGGAAAAAGGTTGGGGGGAAGGGAGAGCGGGTCAGGAAGGGGATGGACTTTGGAGACCGCACAGTTGGCAGTGTGTGCCACGTGGTCACTCACACTCCCCAATAACACCCTGAAGCGAGAGTTAAGGAAAAGGGTGTGGGGGAGAAGTGGGGAGGAAGGGGGGAGGGACAAGGAACTAGCATGCCCCAGCAACACCCTGGATTAAGATCAGGGTAAAAATTCAAAGGTACACAAGCCGGGGGTGGGGCAGTGCGACATACAGGGAGAAGGGGAAACTATAAAGGGAAGTAATAAAAATGTGAGTTCCAAGAGGTCACTCACACTCTCCAATGGCGTCGTAAAATGAAAAAGGGGTAATAGGCCAGGGAGGAAAGCTAGCTAAAACCATCCAGGCGAAAGAAACAAAACAGTGTCTGAACCCGGAATCGAACCGGAGACCTCCAGTGTGTGAGACTGGCGTGATAACCGACTACACCATCCAGACATGTCAACAGGTAAAATACAACTAATAATAACATACGACCACAAGGGTTCAGAAGAGAGCGTTATGTGTCGTCGCAACCCCTTAGAACTTTGGGTGTGGATGCAGGTAGTGAGCTAAGGTATGTGCATGTGATCACCTCGTTATAGCGGTGTGCCCACCTCGTTATAGCGCTGTGCCCACCTCGTTATAGCGCTGTGCCCACCTCGTTATAGCGCTGCGCCCACCTCGTTATAGCGCCGTGCCCATGGCTTCCCAGAACAATCACATCAGGGTCGACTTCGCTCGCTGCCTCGAGAATCCTCTCCCTCGCGTCGCCACATGTGCTCTTCGTCACCCACTCGTTCTTAAACGACGGCTGCGATTCGAAGGAAACGCAGATGACGGACGAAGCAGGATAATGCACACGGAATGGAGGGAGAAGTGGGAGGGCGGAAGGGAAGGCAGGGAGGGAGATGGGGCGAAGCGTAGAAACGAAGCAGTAGGAAAGGCAGAAACGATAATTAAGGAGGGTGGCATATGTTGCAAAATTACCATTCTTCGTTATTAGCTCACTTTGTAGGTTCTAGCAAGTTTTTGGTACTTGTCGAGCAGCGTGTGACTATCCCGAAGGTACTGTGCCTCGAACTCCTGTTTGTAGGTCTGGGCGGCATAGAAGTCCACCTCTGCAAGGAGCCATGCCACGTAACCATGGTTATAAAGAACAAGAAACGGGTAAGAGTCATTTCGCCACCGAAAAAGGGAGAGAGAGAAGGAAGGGGGCGAGGGTTTCGGCTGCTGCTGCAATCGCCGTCTCTGCTTTGTTGTACCTTCAATATGGGGTCGGACGTGAACGATGGTAACCCTATCGTTGTCTTCGACGACCTTTTCGCACGCGAATTGTAACGCGTGGCGACTGCCCTCCGAATCGTCCACCGCGATCAAGAAATTTCGCCCCGCTTCACCCGCCGCCATAGTCGGTTTGGTAGGAACGACACGACCAGTCACGTAAAGGAGCGGAGAAGGCTAGTGATAAAAAACCGAGAAAACGACGTGATTCCTCGAAATCGCTAAATTGGCCTGGTGCAGTCAGCAAGGCTACGCCAAGTGAAATAACGACACTGACACGAGGATAAAGCTAATACGAAATTATTTTCAACTCAACGGCTCTAACTTATAGCAGAAGCGACTAGTTAATAACACGCGAGCCAAAGCAACTGAGAGTTGCCTGCAGAATGCCAGGATGAGTGAACAAAAGCAGCAGGATTCAAGAAATGTCCCAAGAAATCAAGAAATCTTTTGAAGAAAACAATCACTCTCTGCCAGGAATAGCTGCATCTGGCGCCAGGGCGCCATGTGAAACGGACCAAAGCTGAGGACAATTACGGAACCTAAATGGTGGGTTCAGTACGTTCTAATTACTTTACACTACGGTGAACTGCGGTACTCGAAGTTTTGCATCACGCTCCCACACACAGTTGGGGATGTCACCAGCTAAGTGACATCATGCACCAGCTGGTGCTGCACCGCCCGACGTTCTCGCCCTTGCTATGCCATGTGGAATTGGTGACGCGATATTTGCAAGCATACAGCTGCAATCTTGGTGGCAAAGCAAATCGATTACGTCAGCTCCAACAGCTTGGACTATCTTCGTAAAAAGATCGTGCGCAACGGTGTAAGAGCGCATCTCAGTGTCCAGCAGGAAACATCAGAATAATCATTTTTAGATGCGTTAGTACATGCACATTGCATAACCAACCCAACTGCTGGCTGATCGAGGAGCACATGATTGTTCCATGCCTGAAAATTCCGTACCAGTAGACCTAGAATGCCCCACCTGTATAAAAAGGATACATGAGGTATGTATTGACCAAACAAAAAAAACACTCCATAAACCTATGATATACATAAGGCCCCCCCTGCCCCTTCACTCATCTCCCTCACCGCCCAACCACCCAAAAATCAGATTCACTCCACCGTGACACTCTTGGCAAGGTTTCGAGGTTGATCGACGTTAAACCCCCTGATAACAGTCAAATGGTAGGCGAGGAGCTGTAGCGGAATAATATTAATGATGGGCTGTAGGCAGTCCTCCACATGAGGCACTTCAATTATCTTCGCCGCGCCATTTGGACACATGAGATCCGCATCTCCCTCAGAGCAGATCACCATTAATCGGCCGCTGCGGGCCTGCAACTGTTGGATGACTGACTGCTGCTTGCTGTATTGGGGGCAGAAGGGCCACGGAAAAGGGGGATGGAACAAAAGAGGCGTGGTATCACATAAAGGAACACGACTTTGCTGAAAGCGTTGTGCATGTACACATTGCATCGCCTTCAACCAGGCGCCATTGCACGCTCCACGTTTCCACCAACTCCTCCTCACCTCCGCACATCCACCACACTTCAGCATCTCTCCACACCCCCCATCACTACTTACTCCTCCTCATCACACCTTCCCTCCTCCTCACCTGCAGGTGCCATCTGGGTAGCGACACCAACGATGGGAAGTGTGGTGTCAAAGGGGGGCAGAGTGGCATCAACGAGGCATTGCGAGAAGCTCTTACCTTGAAAGGCCCGATAAGCTGCTTTCTTAATCTCCTCGGATCGCTTCACGTCCAAGGACGAGTCGACAGCCGACATGATGGCCAAAATGATTGCCTTTCTTTCTACCACTTCATAAATCAGATCTTACCGGGCAGAGCAATTTGTGGGTGTTTGGTCTAGTGGCATGATTCTCGCTTAGGGTGCGAGAAGTCCCGAGTTCATTTCTCGGAACACCCCTCTCTTATGTGGAGCATTTTGTAATTTGTATTTTAGGTAAAATACTATTATCTTTTGGTGGTCTCTACTATTGCAGCCATACCCAATGCTAGGAACCGTTGAGAAACTTACCTCCCTCGCTGTGCAGCCCCACGCCCAATCATTACCTCCGAAAACCACACCACACCCACCACCACACCACCCAACCAGCTCACCTGCAGGTGCAGTCACGGGTAGCAACAACGATAATAGGCAGGGCGGCGGCGTCAACAAGGGCGAGGGGGCCGTGCTTCAACTCCTCAACCACCTCCTCCTTACCCTTCCACACCCATCACCACCCCTCTCCTCACCTGCACGTGCTATCACGAGTAGCAACAACGATGATAGGCAGGGTGGCGTCAACGAGGGCGAGGGGGCCGTGCTTCATCTCGCCGGCCAGAATGCCCTCGCTGTGCATCAGCGCCACCTCCTTCACCTTCAGCGCCCCCTCCACCGCCGTCGCATAGTTGTACCCGCGCCCAAACACCAGCAGGCTCTGCTCGCCTGATAGCTCCCGGGCTAGCTGCTGGATCTCAGAGTCTAGCCTCAGCACCTGCCGCACTTTCCCTGAGGGTTGGGGTAGGGGTTCAAAACAGTGGTTAATGGTAAGGCTGCTGTTGCGTGGTTGTACCCGCGCCCAAACACCAGCAGGCTCTGCTCGCCTGACAGCTCTCTGGCCAACTGTTGGATTTCTGGGTCAAGCCTCAGCACCTGCCGCACCTTCCCTGGATGGGCGGGGAAGGGGTTGGAAACAATGGTCAATTGCAACGAATGTTGCGTGACTGTACCCGCACCCAAACACCAGCAGGCTCTGCTCGCCTGACAGCTCGCGGGCTAGCTGCTGGATTTTAGAGTCAAGCCTCAGCACCGGCCGCACATTCCCTGGATAAAACACAAGGGTGATGGGAGGGCGGGTGTGTTGGGGGAGGGGAACGAAGGAGGGTAAAAATGCTGTTTCGCAGCTGCACCCGTGGCCAAACTCCAGCAGGCTCTGCTCGAAAGACAGGCTGCTTTCGAGAGTTCTCAGAATCAACCTGCAACGAAGGAGGGTAAAAATGCTGTTTCGCATTGTACCCGTGGCCAAACACCGGCAGGCTCTGCTCGAAAGACAGCTCGCGGACCAAGTATTGGACCTCAGAATCCAGCCTCAGAGCCTGTTTTTTGAGAGTTCTCAATTAACAGCGCGCAGGCCAACTGTTGGACCTCAGAATCCAGCCTCAGAGCCTTTTTTTGAGAGTTCTCAATTAACAGCGCGCAGGCCAACTGTTGGACCTCAGAATCCAGCCTCAGAGCCTGTTTTTTGAGAGTTCTCAATTAACAGCGCGCAGGCCAACTGTTGGACCTCAGAATCCAGCCTCAGAGCCTGTTTTTTTAGAGTTCTCAATTAACAGCGCGCAGGCCAACTGTTGGACCTCAGAATCCAGCCTCAGAGCCTGTTTTTTGAGAGTTCTCAATTAACAGCGCGCAGGCCAACTGTTGGACCTCAGAATCCAGCCTCAGCGCCTGTTTTTTTAGAGTTCTCAATTAACAGCGCGCAGGCCAACTGTTGGACTTCAGAATCCAGCCTCAGAGCCTGTTTTTTGAGAGTTCTCAATTAACAGCGCGCAGGCCAGCTGTTGGACCTCAGAATCCAGCCTCAGAGCCTTTTTTTTTAGAGTTCTCAATTAACAGCGCGCAGGCCAACTGTTGGACCTCAGAATCCAGCCTCAGAGCCGTTTTTTTTAGAGTTCTCAATTAACAGCGCGCAGGCCAGCTGTTGGACCTCAGAATCCAGCCTCAGAGCCGTTTTTTTTTAGAGTTCTCAATTAACAGCGCGCAGGCCAACTGTTGGACCTCAGAATCCAGCCTCAGAGCCTTTTTATTTAGAGTTCTCAATTAACAGCGCGCAGGCCAACTGTTGGACCTCAGAATCCAGCCTCAGAGCCGTTTTTTTTAGAGTTCCCAATTAACAGCGCGCAGGCCAACTGTTGGACCTCAGAATCCAGCCTCAGAGCCTGTTTTTTTAGAGTTCTCAATTAACAGCGCGCAGGCCAACTGTTGGACCTCAGAATCCAGCCTCAGAGCCTGTTTTTTGAGAGTTCTCAATTAACAGCGCGCAGGCCAACTGTTGGATCTCAGAATCCAGCCTCAGCACCTCTCTTATCGTGGCCTCTGGCCACCTGGCACACTTTCGCTGGATAAACCTCATGGATGGGGGAGGGTGTGTTATGTGATAGGGGAGAGGAATGGGGTATGGTAAGGAGGATGCTGTCGAGTTGTTATACCCCCACCCAAACACCCACCAGCAGGCTCAGCTCGCGAGACAGCTCACAGGCAGGCTGGTAGGATCTCCGATTCCAGCCTGAACACCTGCCCCACCTTCCCTGGATAAAAGGCAAGGACGAGGTCCGTACAGGGAAGGGGACAAGGGGGACATGGATAGAGAATGCAACAAGGCAAGGCATGCCTCTCACAGGTCCGAATGGCTTCTCTGGAAGAAGCAGATTGGCGAAGTTTCGTAAGAAAAGAAAAGTATTGGAAGGCCAGTGTGAGACTCCATAGGCACGGCTCAGTGCATGGTAATGTTACTTTCTGGGCAGGTCAGCGAGCTTCTCTATGATCCGTGTTTTGAGTCGACTCAAAACACGGCTCATTATGAGTTGACTCAAAACACGGCTCATTTTGAGTCGACTCAAAACACGGCTCATTTTGAGTTGACTCAAAACACGGCTCATTTTGAGTCAACTCAAAACACGGCTCATTTTGAGTCAACTCAAAACAGGTGAACGAGCTTCTCTTTGATCAGCTCTCTTCACCCTTTCGTGGAAATGCTGTCCTCGCCAATCGCCAGAGCCATCAGCACCAGCACCGCAATTTGCGTGCACTTACTGAGTGACGGCTTAGCGGGTGGCGAAGCACAGTGCACTTACTGAGTGACGGCTTAGCGGGTGGCGAAGCACAGTGCACTTACTGAGTGACGACTTAGCGGGTGGCGAAGCACAGTGCACTTACTGGGCAGGTCGACGAGGCTGTCTATGATCCGCTCTCTTTGCTCTTTCGTGGAAATGCTGTCCTCCCCAATCGCAAGAGCCATCAGCACCAGCACCGCAATCTGACTCGTGTATGCCTGGAATAGTAACCATATCGAATAGGACGGGGGGTGGGGGGGTGGGGGTGGTGGTTTGGAAAGGAGAGGATTTTATAGGCGCCTCAAAATTAGGCATTAACAGTTGCACCAGCACCACAATCTGACTCGTGTATGCCTGGAATAGTAACCATATAGAATGGGACGGGGAGTGGGGTTTGGAAAGGAGAGGATTTCATAGGCGCCTCAAAATATGCAATTCTCTATTGCACAAGCACAGCAACCTGCCTTGTGTATACCTGTAGCGTTTACCAAGGACGGGACCCCAGGAATAGAAAATCAGGGCATGCAGGCAATGAAACATGAGATGAAAGACGATTTTCAACATAAAATGCAGCAACACACCAGAGAATGAAACATCGCTGAAGCGGAAGTGAAAACTAAAACACCAGGACCTTGCTAATGGCACTCCCCACCGTGTTAGTCACGCCCACACACAGCACCCCCTTCGCTTCGCCCCTCTCCCCCACACAACGCCCCGTTCCCTACAACCATCTCACCTTGGTGCTGGCGACGCCGATTTCAGCCCCCGCATTGATGAACGCTCCACAGTGCGTGCGGCAGGCGATAGCACTCCCCACCGTGTTAGTGACGCCCACACAGCGCCCCCCTCGCCCACACAGCGCCCCCCTCGCCCACACAGCGCCCCCCTCGCCCACACAGCGCCCCCCTCGCCCACACAGCGCCCCCCTCGCCCACACAGCGCCCCCTTCTCTACCAGCAACTCACCTTGGTGCTGGGAACGCCGATTTCAGCCCCCGCGTTGATGAACACGCCGCAGTGTGTCCGCCAGGCAATAGCACTCCCCACCGTGTTAGTCACGCCCACACAGCGCCCCCCTCGCCCACCCAGCGCCCCCCTCGCCCACACAGCGCCCCCCTCGCCCACACAGCGCCCCCTTCTCTACCAGCAGCTCACCTTGGTGCTGGCAACGCCGATTTCAGCCCCCGCGTTGATGAACACGCCGCAGTGTGTCCGCCAGGCAATAGCACTCCCCACCGTGTTAGTCACGCCCACACACAGCGCCCCCCTCGCCCGCGCATACTCCAACGCCCCCTCGCCCCCACATAGTGCCCCCCTCCCAACCAGGCTACCAGCAGCAGCTCACCTTGGTGCTGGCAACGCCGATTTCAGCCCCCGCGTTGATGAACACGCCGCAGTGTGTCCGCCTGGCAATAGCACTCCCCACCGTGTTAGTCACGCCCACACACAGCGCCCCCCTCGCCCGCGCATACTCCAACGCCCCCTCGCCCCCACATAGTGCCCCCCTCCCAACCAGGCTACCAGCAGCAGCTCACCTTGGTGCTGGCAACGCCGATTTCAGCCCCCGCGTTGATGAACACGCCGCAGTGTGTCCGCCTGGCAATAGCACTCCCCACCGTGTTAGTCACGCCCACACACAGCGCCCCCCTCGCCCGCGCATACTCCAACGCCCCCTCGCCCCCACATAGTGCCCCCCTCCCAACCAGGCTACCAGCAGCTGCTCACCTTGGTGCTGGCAACGCCGATTTCAGCCCCCGCGTTGATGAACACGCCGCAGTGTGTCCGCCTGGCAATAGCACTCCCCACCGTGTTAGTCACGCCCACACACAGCGCCCCCCTCGCCCGCGCATACTCCAGCGCCGACAGCGTGTCCGCCGTCTCCCCCGACTGGCTCATAAACACCGCCGTATCCTCCCTATACACCGGCGCGTTTCTGTCCAACATATCGCTCGCCAGCTCCAGCTGAACCGCCACCCCGGAAAGCTCTTCTAGCAGAGGACGCACGGCGAGGGCTGCGTGGTAACTGGTGCCGCAGCCGACGAAAATGATGCGCCTGCTGCGGCGGATGGTGAGGAGATGGTCCTTGAGACCGCCTAGTAGCACCCCTTTTTCCTCTGACCAAGGCGCTGAGGAGCCTACGCGGCTGACAGGGGAGAGTTTGGAAAGAGGGGAGAGGGGCGGCAGGCTGGAGACTGCACCTGCTCCTCCTGGTGCTGCTGCGGTTGAAGCTACTGGGCTGCTTCCATTCGAACCAGCAGCGGCAGCCGCAGCAGTAGAGTCACCAGCAGTTACAGCTGCCGCTGCTACCGCTGCTGCTGCGGAGGCGGAGGGCGGAAGGGAGCTGCATGCATTAGACGCAGTAGGAGACAGCGAATCCGCCTTGCCGTGAATCAGCCTTCCCCTCAGCGTCATGGTGAGCGACTCAGGCTGCTCGTGAATCTCCTTCTGCATGAAATGATCATAACTCCCCTTCATGATCTGCTCCACCTCCATCTCTAGCGTCGAGAGCGCCCGCTGCAGCGCCGTCGTGGGGGGTAAACCGCGCTTGGCCTTATCCGGCTCGAACGAAAACAGAGAAACGACCCCGTCCCTGATATGCACCACTTCGTTATCCTCTATAACCATCACTTTCTTCGTATGCTCTACCACCGCGCTCGCATCGCTCGCTAGGAACAACTCTCTCGGCCCAGTCGGCACGGCTCCACCTCTCACCACCCCTCCCGGTTCCTCCGCGCCCACTATATCAAACGCGGATTTGCGGCCGTCGGAGGGGACTTTGACGCCCAGGAGGAGCGGGCTGCCGCGCTTGCAGGCGACGAGCTGGTTGGGGAAGTGCGGGCTCTTGAAGAGCAGCGCGTAGGCGCCCTCCAGCTGCCGCATCACCTCCATTACCACCTGCGTGAACGCCACCCGCTCCCCACCTGTGGCACCGTTGACTGTGGAGGGGGTAGTGGGGGTGGGGTATGGGGAGTGGCAATGAGGACTGGACGGGGAAGAGGCAAGGACGAGAGAGGAGAGGGAGCAGCGCGTAGGCGCCCTCGCAGCTGCCGCATCACCTCCATCACCACCTGTGTAAACGCCACGCGCTCACCCTTGGCGGCAGTGGCACCGTTGACTGTGGGGAGTGGAGAGTGGAGTGTGGGGAGAAAGACGAGAGTGAGCAGAAGAGAGAGGGGGAGAGCAGCGCGTAGGCCCCTTCTAGCTGCCGCATCACCTCCATTGGTGGAACCGTTGACTGTGGAGTGGAAATTGGGTGGTTTGTAGTGCGTGCTGGTAGTGGAAATGAGGAATGGAAGGGGTAACGGACAAGTACGAGGGAGAAGGGAGAGCAGCGAGTAGGCGCCTTCTAGCCAAAGCATTGCCTCCATCACGACCTGTGTGAACGCCACTCGCTCACCACTGGATGACTTTTGAGTCGACTCAAAAGTCACCTCGTAGGCGCCTTCTAGCCAAAGCATTGCCTCCATCACGACCTGTGTGAACGCCACTCGCTCACCACTGGATGACTTTTGAGTCGACTCAAAAGTCACCTCGTAGGCGCCTTCTAGCCAAAGCATTGCCTCCATCACGACCTGTGTGAACGCCACTCGCTCACCACTGGATGACTTTTGAGTCGACTCAAAAGTCACCTCGTAGGCGCCTTCTAGCCAAAGCATTGCCTCCATCACGACCTGTGTGAACGCCACTCGCTCACCACTGGATGACTTTTGAGTCGACTCAAAAGTCACCTCGTAGGCGCCTTCTAGCCAAAGCATCACCTCCATCACGACCTGTGTGAACGCCACACGCTCACCACTGGTGGAAACGTTTACTGATGGGGAGAAGAGTGTGCGGGAAATGAGGTGTTGGGAGGAGAAGGGAGGATGAGGGGAGGAGGATGAGGTGGGGAGAATGAGGGCGTCGGCGCCCACCAGCTTCGCAACAACCTCTCGCTGTTCCTCCCTCTTACCGCCCCTCCCGTTCCCAGCACCCAAGCCCTTCTCCCTGCCCTTCCCCTACCTGTCTTGCCCGACACGCCATTGGCCATGCTCGAGACGCCATTCGCCATGCCCTCGCCGCCATGCCCCCCTTCCGACTGCAGCAGATTGTCGTACACGAATTTGGCGAGCTTCGGGATCACCTCGGTGTCTGTCTCTGACTCGAACGTAAAGCCGTGCTTCTGGAGGGTGCCCTTCAGCGCCTGCAGGACGCGGTATGGGGGAGTGCGGAGGGGTGTGGGGGAGTGTGAAGGAGTGTAGGGGGAACTCGGCGAGCTTCGGGACCACCTCGGTGTCTGTCTCTGACTCGAACGTGAAGCAGTGCCGCTGAAGAGTGCCCTTCAGCGCATGGGGATGGGGTGCAGAAGTAATGTGGAGGAGTGAGAAAGGAGTGTGGGGAGTGAGAAAGGAGTGTGGGGAGTGTGGGGAAGGGACGGAAGAGCCAAGAAGAGCTTGCTTAATATCCCTCGTTCAGGTTTCTTGCAGTTTGTTATTATTCCATTGTGCATCACCCGAAGGTCGTGGTTCAGACCGGACGAATCTTGAGGTGTCTTAGGATTCATTCTCAGGGAAGCAGTAAAAGCTGAGGCGACACTGTACCTTGTAGTTGGTGATTATCCCGTTGTGCACCACTAGAAAGTCATGCGTCGAACCCGGGGTTCATTTCCAAGAAAGCAGTAAGAGCTGACGCAACACTGTACCTTGTAGTTGGTGATAATCCCGTTGTGCACCACCAGAAAGTCGTGGCTCGGACCGGACGACTGAGGATGCGAGTTGCGCGGGGACGGCGCGCCGTGAGTGGCCCACCGCGTGTGCGCAATGCCGACGTGACGGGGGAACGCGCGGCTCATATCCAGTTTCGAATCCGCAGCGTCTGTTCAGAGGGCCAGTTGGAAAGGAGGGAGCCAAGAAAAGGGGTGGGAGAGGAGGAGAGGAAGGAGAAAAGAGGAGTCGAAGGAGAGGGGTTGGATAGTAAAGAGGAAAAAGCGAGGGGAGCGGAAGGCAACTGCATCGATTCGTTTCTTTTTCATTCGTACAACGGGCAGTTACAGACGAAACGCAGTGGTTTTTGCTTAACTGTTATGTTCGTTGTGGAATCAAGTTGATAGCAAAGTCGTACCCTGGCGAACTTTCTTTACGAGGTTGGCGATCTTCCCCTTCTGTCGGAATACCAGTGGTTCAGCGCCTTTACGTTCTGATGGAGTAACATTCGTGATGTCCGCAAGCGATTTCGCAGACGCTTCGGTTTCGTCAATCTCTGCTAGCGCAGTAATCACCGCTTCTGCGTCAGTATCGGCGTCAACGCTGATTCCAGCGGAATCATAGCCTCGGTACTCGAGCCTTCTTAGGCCGTTAAAAAGTATCTCGAGGATTTCGGAGCGCTGCTTTGGACACTCATAGTTCAAGTAAGCGAAGATGCCACACATCTTGACTACAAAGAATAAGTCAGGGGGGGCGAAGACTTTAAGACTTGCGTTGCTAAGTGTCTACTTCTTGGCGACGAGAGGAAAAATGAGGCCGACCGCACTACACCGTCCCGTATGCGCTGAAAGACGACGACGGCCTTATAAAAAATCCTTCTATCCGCAGAAGCTGGTTTGTCGTGATAGCACGATCCAGAACTAGCCGCAGCAGCCAGATGACGTGACAGGTCCGGCGAGCAACCTCTTTTCCTTTTTTCTTGAATATACGGAATAACACGTTCTAAGACACCTCAGGTGCTCAAACCACCTGGACACCGTATTTGGACGGCTCCTCTGTGTCCATTCAGCTTCACATTCAAGAACACGGCAGTCTGTAAAATGTGGCACACTAGTGATTAATTGCGCTGCAGGACGAGACTGGTCAAGCTGGCTGATCCACAGCAGTAGGCACCAGCAGCTTCCAACAACTTCTTGACCCAGTTCATTGATTGGGAGACTCCTAGAGCAGATAGCTACCTACTTTTAGGATTGAGAGAGAAGAACTGCCGGCCTTCGGAAATCCTTGTGCTGTTTTGAGTTTTCTTGGGAGCATCGAGAGGTGCGGTGATGCTGCTTTGGCGGGAATTTGTAGGAACTCTTCTTCTGTTTGGCGGGAAGTAAGTTCGGAATTCCCTAAGCAATTTCTTTCCCCAAATCTAGGGTTCGGTCACACATTTACGGAAAGTCAAAAGGGAGGCTTGGTGATGAGTTTCTTGCAGGCCAGGTCAGCTCCGCGCCCACAAACCAGAAAGCAGACCTCCAGGAGCCACGTGATTGGCAAATGGTCGGTGAAAGGGAGCCAAACCAGTCCAACTACGCAAATGGAGGCTTTCCCGCGGAAGCCACCTTACAGATCTTGGAAAAGGTTGGGTGTTTGGCGGTTTGGAGGCAAGAAGGAGCCCCATTCCAGACCAATCTTCCTGGCTGATGCCTGACACAAGCCGAGCCTCAGTGTTACGAGTGCAATTGAGTGAGCGAGTGAGAATTGCACTATCTAAGCAAAAGTACAATGAGCTAAGGCATGAGCTAAGAATATATAGCGAAACTACAGTGGTAACGGTAATGCGTGAAAAATGGGGTGCGCGACGGGCCTGGCGCAGAAGTTGGGAATGGCCGAGGCGGAGGTCCGGAGCGCGGGTTACCAACCGAACTGTGAGGTTGGGTCGCGTCGTGAACAGTGGCGGGAACAGTGTCAATGCGAGTGTCGCGAATGGTAACGGATTACTGTTGGGTGCTGTTGGCGGAAACAGTGGTGTGCGCGCTGAGCAGGGACGCGAAGTAAGGAAAAGGAATTTTCCTTACAATCAGTCATGATAGGCCGACAGTGCTTAGGGCAAAAAAAAAATGCTTCTGTATCACTACTTACGTATATAATTCATTTATTGAATATACATTCATATATACATATATGTTTCATTTACTGTATTCTGCGACACATTATATAATTGAGTTTATGCTTCCAAATGTACACAATAGGGAGAAATATCTGAACATAATATTTGTAATATCTACGAAAAAAACATATATTTATCTGACGCTTTACTATTGGTGATGTACCTTCTCATTGCTATGCGTATATATTTGTTTCTTAATTTTTGTTTTTTTATGCAAACCCTCATTCTGTCAATCTCGGCACCCTTCTCCTAGCCTTCTTCCTAAGTACGTTATAAGCAAAAAAAAAAAAAACTATGTTTAACATGATATTAGAGCTGGTCCTCCTATTTGTATCCTCCTTTCCATAATGAAAACCCTCTTTTTGTCGACCTCGATATCTTTCTCCTAGCCTCCTTCCTCATACGTCTTAAGCTAAGAACCTATGTTTAACAGTAAGCTACTCTTCCGCCCCCTGTTCGTCCATAACTACCTCGTTGCAATATCGATGCGTATGGATGAGACAGTGCGCGGCTCACGCGCCCTCTACTTTGCAAATATTTGTATTTTGAGAGAAAATTCCGACTGTAGCGATCGTTGCAAACTTGGAAGACGCAGACTTAATGAGGCTCGTTTTGAAAAGTAATGTCCCAGTCATCCTTCTCTTTTGGAAAGTAGGCTCCGAATGCAATCCGGCTTTTTTCCGTTGACAGGCACGTTTGCGGATAAATATTCTAGAAGCTTCGCCCTTATACAATGTAAACATAGATCTCTGCCCCGATATGACGAACACATACATCATCCGCGTCATACCCACTGCTGATACAACCAGAGGATCCAGTGGATAGGATAGGTTTAAGTCTGAGAGGAGACAATGGAATCTCTATAGTGACCTTGTTGAATAATGATTGAAAGAGAACAAGATGATTGTAAGATAGGAGTACAAGGGTTTAAATAGAAATCTAGCTAGCCATGTACTCTAAGGGGTACATTCCCTTATTAACTGTATTGCATAGCTACAGTAACCATGACTATTGCTATCCTCGACAGTTTACCATGTTGCAGTGAATTAACTGTCGTGCGGTTACTGGATCGTCAAAGGTCACGACCGTTGACTTCCTCAGACGGTTGACCTTCGGGTGACCTTCGGCATTCCGCATGCTCTATATGAGCTATTGCGGTACTGATACAGTGGAGCAGCTTCGGGAATGCTTTATATAACCTTTCGGTTGTTTCAACACCCACAATTACGACCTTTAGAGATGGGATACCGATTATGAGTCATCTGCTTAACGAATCTGCATGCTCTGATACGTATGCCTTTACCATTGAGGCTTGCTCGAAAGGGCGAGGACCTACGTGTGGCTGAAGAATGTGCACCACTATGGTCTCCATAAAGGGGGAGAAAGGCGGAGAATCTTGAAGGAGCTTCTGTTAGAATCACTAGCTAGGTGAGGAATGAGTGTCGATTAGGTAAGAGGTAGGGGGTGTCAAATTATAATGTTGTCTAGGCTTTAGTGGGGTAGCCTGTCAGTAGATCTGCACTGTGGATGCCCGATTGATCATACGGGGGGTTACAGGCGCGTTTGCCTGGGGGGTTATGGGCGCACTCTGACCCGCTACTTAACAAGCCCTTTTATCCCAATGGTCTAGTGGTTGGGATTCTGACATGGTATCTGAGCGGTCTCGGGTTCGATTCCCGGTGTATGCACATGTAGGCCGTTGCCGTTGTGCTCAGTCCTGGGCCTCCCAGTGTGGGGGGGTGTCAGTAGATCTGCACTGTGGATGCCCGATTGATCCTACGGAGGGTTACATGCGCGTTTGCCTGGGGGGTTATGGGCGCACTCTGACCCGCTACTTAACAAGCTCTTTTATCCCAATGGTCTAGTGGTTGGGATTCTAACATAGCCCATATGGGGTACACATTTCTAGGGTTGCATATTTGTATCACTTTCATTCCATAGTCATTCCATTCTCGTTCTAATTTCCTCATGGTATCGAGCAGGTTCCCCCGTGGGAACTGTGCCTAGGGCCCACCACATCGAGTTTTTTTTTTTCCTGCCCGAAGCGCGCTCAGCCCGAGTCGCGCTCTGGGCTCTCACTTCGTCGAGCCGCCCTAGCGGCCCCAACGCCCTAACGGCCCCGCAGCCCGTCGATTCGGCCCCGCCGCCCTTCGCTGCGGCCCCGCCGTCCTTCGCTGCGGCTCCGCCGCCCTTTGCTGCGGCCCCGCCGCCTCTCTCGTTGCGGCCCCGCCGCCCTTCTCAGCGGCCCCGCCGCCCTTCACTGCGGCCCCGCCGCCCGTCTCAGTGGCCCCGCCGCCCTTCGCTGCGGCCCCGCCGCCCTTCGCTACGGCCCCGCCGCCTCACATTGCAGCCCCGCCGCCCTTCCCTGAGGCCCCGTTGCCCGTCTCAGCGGCCCTGCCGCCCTTCGTTGCGGCCCGCCGCCTCTCTCGCTGCGGCCCCGCCGCCCTTCTCAGCGGCCCCGCCGCCCTTCTCAGCGGCCCCGCCGCCCTTCTCAGCGGCCCCGCCGCCCTTCTCAGCGGCCCCGCTGCCCTTCTCAGCGGCCCCGCCGCCCTTCTCTGCGGCCCCGCCGCCTCTCTCACTACGGCCCCGCCGCCCTTCTCAGCGGCCCCGCCGCCCTTCACGGCGGCCCCGCCGCCCTTCACTCCGGCCCCGCCGCCCCTCCCACTGCGGCCCCGCCACCTACCTTGCGGCCCCGCCGCCCTACCAGCGGCCCTAGCGCCCTACACCGCCCGCGCCGCCCGAGCCGCCCGAGCCGCCCGAGCCGCCTGAGCCGCTGAGGAGCCGAGCCGCCCGAGCAACCCGAGCCGCCCGACCTGCCCGAGCAGCCCGAGCCGCCTGAGCCGCTGAGGAGCCGAGCCGCCCGAGCCGCCCGTTCACCCCGAGCCGCCCGAGCCGCCTGAGGAGCCGAGCCGCTGGTGCCGTGGAGCCGCAGTTGCTGCTGAGCCGTCCGAGCAGCTGTGTTGCCGTGTTGCTGTGCTACTGAGCTGCCCGAACCGCCCTGTCTGGTGAAAGCAGCGCTTCTGTCACTGCACTGCCCCTGTCCTACAGCTGGTACTGCTAGTCTACTGTTGTCATGGCTACCCCTAGTGTCCTCACGTTTGACGCTGAGGGTCCAGCCATTGACTTTGAGGTCTGGGTCGACGACCTGCAGCTGTTCTTACAGTGCGATAGGGCAGATGGTCTCTCTCTCTTTGACCTCACCTCTGACGCCTCTCCTACCCCTGCTGCTGATGCTGACCCCACTGTTTGCTCCCAGTGGGCCACGCGTGATGGTGCTGCACGTCTTGCTGTGCGTCGCCACCTGCCTACCACTGAGCGCGCGCACTTTAGTCAGTACAAGAGTGCTCAGACCTTGTACGACGCTGTAGTTGCGCGCTACTCTTCCCCTGCCACTGCTGCACTGAGCCGCCTCATGCTACCGTACCTCTTCCCTGACCTTGCTGCCTTTCCCACAGTCGCTGACCTCATTACGCACCTCCGCACTAGTGACACTCGTTACCGCGCCGCGCTTCGTGCTGAGTTCTGCGCCAAGAACCCCCCCCCCATGTACATCACTCTCTATTATATAGT